TGAGGTTGGAGAACAATAACAGATGAGGTTGGAGAACAATAACAGATGAGGTTGTAGAACATTAACAGATGAGGTTGGAGAACAGCCTGGAGATCACTTGTCAAGTGTGGAGACCTCATATTCAGCCTGGAGAATAAAGTGAGACCACAGAGTAATGAGCTTGGATAATACACTTACTGAGCCTTGAGCACAATCGTGAACATGGAGATCGTTCACTAAACATGAAAAACAATACATCACTGACCAACTGTTTAATGAAATAAGAAATCACTGACCAACTGTTTAATGAAATAAGAAATCACTTACCAACTGTTTAATGAAATAAGAAATCACTTACCAACTGTTTAATGAAATAAGAAATCACTTACTAACTGTTTAATGAAATAAGAAATCACTTACCAACTGTTCAATGAAAGAAGAAATCACTTACCAACAGTTCAATGAAATAAGAAATCACTTACCAACAGTTCAATGAAATAAGAAATCACTTACCAACAGTTCAATGAAATAAGAAATCACTTACCAGCTGTTCTCCACTGCAGACCACTTTGATTTTTTCTGGTCACCACTACTAGCAGATTACAAAGGGCATGCAAATGTTCAAACAGCTGAGTAACCAATGGAATCTTCATTTCCTCTTTGACAAGTTTCCGATACTCATTGACATCACAGATCACCAACATTGCCCCTGAAAATTCACATATATATATATATATATATATATATATCAAATATGAAACCCGTGTGACTGTCTGTAATTTCAGTCAACCAGTAACTCCTCCCAAACCGTGTCCAGTAGAGAGGCTTAATTTACACTGCTTTTTGCAGCAAATGTTTCTATGCATTTCTTTTAATTAATGGCTGGGACTCACTAGCAAAGTTGCAGGAGATGCGGAAGCTGCTGCTCGTGAGTCCCAGCCATTTAGTTTAGCCCCAATCCACGCTGGAAGTCCGCAAATTAAGTCGCTGGAAGTGTGCAATTGACATGTGACTAAGGCCCTGTTAGGGTGTTTTTGCGGCCGCCATAATATGTGCCCGTTATTTGGAGGATAGCTATAATAGCTAGTGCTCGGAGCAAGCGAATCTCAGTTTTGCATGAAATTTTTTTAGATATTGATAATGTTTGCTGCTTGGCAAGGACTGATATTGTCTGGGCAATCCTAGACATGATTTCTAGTCTTGACCCCAAGTGACTCCAAATAGCTCCTAAATATGTGAAGAGATGATTGATATGTTCTCAGTTGTGACCAATAATGTACATTAGTGAAGTTCTGCCAGCTGGATTATTAGTCATGTTGTTTTGTCTGCATTTATTTCCATGCCAAACTTGGTCAATGTTTCATCGAGCAGATTTACAAGCTCAACTAGTTCTTGTTCTTCCCCGCCAACCCATCAATGTTATCTGCAAACCTGAAGTTTGTTATAGTTGGACCTCCTATACTAACTGTTCCATGATGTTGTTCTAGGGTGTCAGTCATAATTCTTTCTCAGAAGATATTCAACAGTGTTGGGGAGAGGAGGCAGCCCTGATGGATTCCTACTGAGATATTAAAACATGAATGCAAAAGGCAAGAGGAGCTTTCTTAGTACTAGGAAATTTGTGAAGGTCAAAAGAAATTTAAACTGATACTAAACCTAAAATTGTTTCCTAATGTCAAATCAGTACTGTTGTATAGAGTGGAAACATGGAGACATAATGGCATCCGTCAGACCCGGGGGACTATGGAGATGTGCCGCTGGCTTAGGGAACAGCATCTGCTGTGACTGTAAAGTCTGATGCGGGAATGGCAGCCTTTGCCACACAGGATACACACAAAAACAGATACTCCCTCGTTGTGAGGCAGTTTTACTCTCCGGTGTCTCCTCTCCTCTCGGTTTCTTTCAAAATGTGACAGTTCGTCTTTCACTTTCTGTCTCCATAGTAGTCGATCTGCAGCTGATTGTTCCCATGTCTCTGTGCCTATGTTGGTATCTATTAGGTCACGTTTGCATACATCTTTATAGCGAGGAGATCTTTTGGAATACGACCATCCTTCCATGCGGGAAACAGGTCCCAGCCAGCGCAGACGTCTTTGCTTCAGTATACAATACATTGATGGTATTTTTGCTCTTGTGAGCACACATTCGTTGGAGACAAGGTCTCGCCATAATATACCAAGGATGCGTCTCAGACAGCGCATATGGAAGGTATTCAGTCTTTTTTCCTGTGGAGCATAGAGAGTCTAGGATTCGCAGCCGTACAGTAATGTGCTCAGGACACAAGACATAAACCTTAATTTTTGTATTATCAGTTAGCTTTTTGTTTGACCAGACTCTCTTTGTGAGATTTGCAAACATAGCAGATGCCTTTCCTATACGTTTATTTAGTTCTGCATCCAGAGAATGATTGCCTGAGATACATGAGCCTAGGTACTCAAACTCATTTACAGCCAGCAGCTGATGGTCATACACACTAATGTTTGGTGGATTTTCAACATTCAATCCCATCACTTGTGTTTTGTTCAGACTGATGGTAAGCCCAAATTCTTTGCAAGCATTTGCAAATCGATTCATCAGGATCTGCAGATCATCCTTTGAATGTGCCACAATAGCTGCATCATCCGCAAACAGAAAATCCCTGAGGCATCTCGTGTGCACCTTCGTCCTTGCACGTAGCCTGGACAGATTAAAAAGATTGCCATCTGACCTCGAACGGAGGTATATCCACTCAGTTGCTGTCCCAAATGCAGGCCTCAATAATGCGGTAAAAAAGATGCCAAACAGCGTGGGAGCCAGAACACATCCTTGCTTTACTCCATTTCGAATCTGGAAGGGTTGAGATGATGAATCCTCATATATTATGGTCCCCCTCATATTCTCATGAAAGAATTTGATTAGGCTCAGTAGTATAGGTGGGCATCCATATTTTTCAAGGATCCCAAATAGACCATCTCTGCTGACATAGTCAAAGGCCTTAGTGAGATCTATGAAAGCAATGAGCTGTGGCCTCTGTTGCTCTCTGCACTTTTCTTGTAGCTGCCTGATGGAGAATATCATATCAACTGTTGATCTCTTGGCCCTAAACCCACACTGTGATTCCGGGTATACTCTGTCAGCTAGAATTTGCAACCTCTTTAGGATAACACGAGCAAAGACTTTTCCCACATAATCTAATAGAGAGATACCGCGATAGTTGTTGCAGTCGCTTCATCTCCCTTATTTTTATAGAGAGTTATAATGTTGGCATCTCTCATATCCTGTGGCACCGATTTTTCTTGCCAACACTGACAGAGGATCTTGTGTAGCTCAGGAAGAATAGCATCCTTGGAGCATTTTAGGATCTCAGGTGGGATACCATCCTCTCCTGGGGCCTTCCCTGAAGGAAGCCCATCTACTGCCTCACCGATTTCTGTGACGGAGGGTTCCGTGTCTAGTTCACCCATGGTTGGTAGACACTCCATTGCATTTAAGGCCTCTTCACATACAAAGGTGCTTGTAGCATATAGCTCTGAGTAGTGCTCCACCCAACGGTCCAGCTGCCTTGTCCGATAAACATGGAGAGAAACTAAAACAATTACTAATAAACTACAAACATTCATTAGCTGGTGCCTGCACCGATAAGAGAGAATTACAAATATGATAAAATCAAGAGATGGACAACATCAGTTTCAGAGAGATTACAACCAAGACAAGAGATGGACAACAGCAGTCTCTCTCAGAGAGTGTACAACCAAGACAAGAGATGGACAACAGCAGTCTCTCTCAGAGAGTGTACAACCAAGACAAGAGAGGGACAACAGCAGTCTCTCTCAGAGAGTGTACAACCAAGACAAGAGATGGACAACAGCAGTCTCTCTCAGAAAGTGTACAACAAGACAAGAGATGGACAACAGCAGTCTCTCTCAGAGAGTGTACAACCAAGACAAGAGATGGACAACAGCAGTCTCTCTCAGAGAATGTACAACCAAGACAAGAGATGGACAACATCAGTCTCTCTCAGTGTACAACCAAGACAAGAGATGGACAACAGCAGTCTCTCTCAGTGTACAACCAAGACAAGAGATGGACAACAGCAGTCTCTCTCAGAGAATGTACAACCAAGACAAGAGATGGACAACAGCAGTCTCTCTCAGAGAGTGTACAACCAAGACAAGAGATGGACAACAGCAGTCTCTCTCAGAAAGTGTACAACCAAGACAAGAGATGGACAACAGCAGTCTCTCTCAGAAGTGTACAACCAAGACAAGAGATGGACAACAGCAGTCTCTCTCAGAGAGTGTACAACCAAGACAAGAGATGGACAACAGCAGTCTCTCTCAGAGAGTGTACAACCAAGACAAGAGATGGACAACAGCAGTCTCTCTCAGTGTACAACCAAGACAAGAGATGGACAACAGCAGTCTCTCTCAGAGAGTGTACAACCAAGACAAGAGAAGGACAACAACAGTACAACCAAGACAAGAGAGGACAACAGTCTCTCTCAGAGAGTGTACAACAAACCAAGACAGAGAGTGGACAACAGACAGCAGTCTCTTTCAGCAGTCTCTCTCAGAGAGTGTACAACCAAGACAAGAGATGGACAACAGCAGTCTCTCTCAGAGAGTGTACAACCAAGACAAGAGATGGACAACAGCAGTCTCTCTCAGAGTACAACCAAGACAAGAGAGGGACAACAGCAGTCTCAGAGAATGTACAACCAAGACAAGAGATGGACAACAGCAGTCTCTCTCAGAGAGTGTACAACCAAGACAAGAGATGGACAACAGCAGTCTCTCTCAGAAAGTGTACAACCAAGACAAGAGAAGCAGTGTGTTAGAGATCCCTTGCAGCCAGTCTTCAGTGTAGAGATGGCAAGTGACTGATTAACTGACACTATCCCACCACTTTACAAGCCAGTACAGACTCTTTCACCATTTACACATTAGTATGCACTATCTTGCCACTTTTACAAGTGTGTGTGTGTATGTTTACATATATATACATATACATACATTACATGCCAGGTGATGATCAACACTCACCAATGGAGTTGTAGGTAAACTGTGTCAGATGCTCATAGGTGACTCTGTGAAATCGCTGACCTAATGTATTGAGAACAACTTCCACATTTTTCCCATCAAGACTGTCTTTGATTTCCTTCAGCTGTCCTTGAAGAAACTTGCACACTTTGACAGCAGCCTTGAGCAAATAAGTGTCAGTAAGCTCACACACCTGTCTGACTTATTAATACTGCATACATATGAGTTCACACATACTTAACATAATATTGCCTACATGAGTTCACACAAACCTGAAATAATATTGCCTACATGAGTTCACACATACTTGACATAATATTGCCTACACAAATTCACACACACATGACATAATATTGCCTACACGAGTTCACAAACACATGACATAATAGTGCCTACATGAGTTCACATATAACTGAGATATAATATTGCATACATGAGTTCACACATACCTGACATAATATTGCCTACATGAGTTCACACATACCTGACATAATATTGCATACATGAGTTCACACATACCTGACATAATATTGCCTACATGAGTTCACACATACCTGACATAATATTGCATACATGAGTTCACACACCTGACATAATACAGCCTTTATGTTTGTGTGACTGCATTCAGGTTAGCTGACTGCATTAAGGTAAGTTGACTGTATAAGGGTTAGGTGACTGTATTAAGTTAGGTGACTGCATAAGTTTAAGTGACTGCATTAAGTTTAGGTGACTGCATTAACTTTTTCAGTCAGGGAGGGTTTAGCCTCACAGGCCCAAGGCTTAGCATAGACAGAAGTAAAATCTGTGTATCTTGCACTCACTGGGCTTCTAGGCAGAAACCTATGAATGTATGATGTGTTCCGTGTGACTGAAAGATTCAGGGTAGGTGACTGTATTAAGTTTAGGTGACTGTATTAAGTTTAGGTGACTGTATTAAGTTTAGGTGACTGTATTAAGTTTAGTTGACTGTTTTACGTTTATGTGACTGTATTAAGTTTAGGTGACTGTATTAAGTTTAGGTGACTGTTATAAGTTTAGGTGACTGTATTAAGTTTAGGTGACTGTATTAAGTTTAGGTGACTGTATTAAGTTTAGGTGACTGTATTAGGTTTAGGTGACTGTATTAAGTTTAGGTGACTGTATTAAGGTTGATGAGTGTATTAAGTTTAGGTGACTGTAATAAGGTTGATGAGTGTATTAAGTTTAGGTGACTGTATTAAGTTTAGGTGACTGTATTAAGGTTGATGAGTGTATTAAGTTTAGGTGACTGTATTAAGTTTAGGTGACTGTATTAAGTTTAGGTGACTGTATTAAGTTTAGGTGACTGTATTAAGTTTAGGTGACTGTATTAAGTTTAGGTGACTGTATTAAGTTTAGGTGACTGTATTAAGTTTAGGTGACTGTATTAAGGTTGATGATAGTATTAAGTTTAGGTGACTGTATTAAGTTTAGGTGACTGTATTAAGTTTAGGTGACTGTATTAAGGTTGATGAGTGTATTAAGTTTAGGTGACTGTATTAAGTTTAGGTGACTGTATTAAGTTTAGGTGACTATATTAGGGTTAGGTGACTGTAATGAGTTTAGGTGACTGTATTAAGTTTAGGTGACTATATTAAAGTTAGGTGACTGTATTAAGTTTAGGTGACTATATTAAGTTTAGGTGACTATATTAAGCTTAGGTGACTATATTAAGTTTAGGTGACTATATGAAGGTTAGGTGACTGTATTAAGTTTAGGTGACTGTATTAAGTTTAGGTGACTATATTAAGTTTAGGTGACTATATTAAGGTTAGGTGACTGTATTAAGTTTAGGTGACTGTATTAAGGTTAGGTGACTGCTTAGGTTAGTGCAATAAGGTTAGGTGATTGCATTAAGATTAGGTGAGTGTATTAAGGTTAGGCATCAATAAAGACAGGAGATAGTTAAATAAATGAGGGTTAAGGGTCTAAAAAAAAATAAGTGACAGACATGTAAAGAACAATGTATTGATAGTTAATTAAATGAGGGTTAAGGGTCTGGAATCTGAAGTTGAAAATGCCCTTAAACAAAAACAAAGTAATAAGAACAAGGCAGTGGGAATAGATGGTATTCCAACAGAAATGCTCCTTGCATGTAAGACAACAGCTTGGTTAACCAGAGTCTTTAACATGGCTTGGGAGGCACAGACAGTTTCAAGTGACCGGCAGAAAGCAATCATTGTTCCCATCTGGAAGAATAAAAGGTACAAAAAAGACTGTGAAACACACAGGGGCATCTCCATCCTGAGCCATACTGGAAAGATGTTTGCAAGAATATTGGAACTTAGAGCTGCACCAGTACTAGAGCCCCAGGTCAGTAAGAGACAGTTGGGTTTCAGGAAGGAAAAGACCTGTACAGATGCAATCTTTTCTTTAAGGCAGATATACGAGCAGTCTATTGAATATGATAGAAGTCAACATCTTAAGTTTATAGATCAAGAGAAGGCATTTGATCAAGTCAGTTGATGCAAACTATGGAAGATTCTAGAAGATTGTGGTATTTAAGATCAACTGTTGGGTAACATCATGGCTCTTCACAAAGATAGTCAGTGCATAGTAAGAATAACAGAAGGAATGACAGACTGGTTTCTCATCTCATCAGGTGTCAGACAGGGATGTGTCCTCTCACCATTGCTATTCATCACTTACATGGATAGAATATCACAGGAATCAAATACAGACACTGCAGAAATCAATGAACTTCTTTCTGCAGATGATCAGTGTCTAATACACCACCAAGAACAGCATTGACAACACCACAATGACTCCTGACATCAAGCCTGGACAAAGTATGACATGAGAATAAACACTGTGAAAACTAAGGTAATGAGGATAGGCAGGAAACATAATATCATGAACGTTAATGTTAACAGTACTACAATCAAAAATACAAGAAATCAAATTTCTAGAAAGCATGTTTACGCAGGATGGTAGACTCGAAAAAGAGATCGAAGCCAGAGTACAGAAAGCACATGCTGTCACATACCAGTTAGCCCCACTGCTTAGACACCCAGATGTCTCCCTTCCAGCAAAACAGCAAATGATTAATTTCATCTGCATCCCTACTTGATGTTATCAGTGCCAAACATGGACAATGAATAGGGCACTAGAACAGAAAAAAACTGCAGGTGAAATGCGCTGTCTCCGCAAGGTCACTAACAACACAAGAAGAAACAGGGTTTTGAATACTAGCAGCAGAGAAAAAAGTTGGAATAAGACCATGTCTGGATTATACTGAAAGACAAAGAATGAAGTGGTTGGGCCATGTGGTGAGAATGCAGCCAGACCAGACTGTATATGAGACTTTTTACAGTAGAACATCTGGGAGGAGGGATGGCGAGAGAAGACCAAGAAAGAGAAGGATAAATGGTGTGGATGAAACCTGCACAGAGATGAAACAAACCCATCACTGAAGCCACCCGAGAACCGCAAGACAAATACAGAAAACCTGGACACTGGGCTAAAACCTGGTAACAGTGAGACCATGACAGAAGAGGAAGGCTCTACAACAAAACACAAGTGACAGACTTGTCATCAACAATATACCGGTGACAGAAGATGTAGTGGGGCGTCCTCAGACTCTGGACGGAAGTCAGTTTTCTTCTGTTCTGTAGCAAAGATATATTTGACATAACCGATGACTGCATTAATGGATCGGTCCAGGCCAATATCAATCTTGTTCTCCATTGCTTCTCTGAGCTCCCTCTTCTTCTTCATATAAAAGCCATGGTGCTGGGATGACCTAGAGACAAATGGATGAGATCAGTAAATGCAACATTCTTTATCTCTCTATCTCTCATGTATTCATATGTGTTTGCCTGTCAGTATGTATGCCTGCATGTACGTATGACTGTTTTTATGTATGCCTGTATGTAAGCATGTGTTTACGTATGTATGTCAGTCCTAAAAAAAGATTTGAATATAGCTGTGACTTTTTTCAAAAAATGACTTTGACTCCCAGGTCAACCCAGCCTTGAGTGGGTACCGGGTGCAGTCCCAGGAAGTAAAGATGGCCAGCGTGATACTGACCACATCACCCATCTTGTGCCGACAAGTCTAAACAAATATAGGTCTAGCCCTATACGCCTAAAGGCGTGGTAAATGGACCTTATTTTAACTTACTTTTTTATGAATGTTAGAAACTGTACGGGTCACTGACTGAATTACAACAGACAGTGAAGTTCACACTAGAGACAACATTGCAGATTCAGATAATCTACTTCAATGATTGTTACATATATGACTGTTACATATTTGGCTGTTACATATATGACTGTTACATATTTGACTTACATATATGACTGTTACATATATGATTGTTACATATATGACTGTTACATATATGACTGTTACATATTTGATTGTTACATATATGACTGTTACATATATGAATGTTACATATATGACTGTTACATATATGACTGTTACATATTTGATTGTTACATATATGATTGTTACATATACGACTGTTACATATTTGATTGTTACACATATGATTGTTACATATTTGACTGTTACATATTTGATTATGGTATTACAAGAGACATAATACTTGCATGTAAGGCAACAGCAGTAAAATGGCTGACAAGAATATTCAATATGGCCTGGGAGGAAATGAAAGTTCCCGTTGACTGGCAGAAAGCAATTATAGTTCCCATATGGAAGAAGAAAGGTAATAAACGAGATTGTGAAACATACAGAGGTATCTCTTTACAAAGCCATGTAGGAAAGATGTTTGCAAAAATATTAGAACATAGAGCGAGGGTGATATTAGAATCTCAATTAAGTAACAATCAGTTTGGATTAAGAAAAGGAAAGAGCTACACTGATGCAATATTTACTCTTCGGCAAATGTGTGAACAGACAATCGAATATAATAAACACCAGAATCTTATATTCATTGATCAAGAGAAGGCTTTTGACAGGGTTACCAGAAATAAACTATGGAACATTCTTGAAGAATATGGTGTACCAGGTAATTTTTGGGAAACATAATGGCTCTCTATCAAAATAGCCAGAGCGCTGTAAGAACAACGGAAGGTATGGCAGACTGGTTCCCCATTACATCAGGAGTATGACAAGGATGTGTCTTATCACCCCTACTCTTCATCACATATATGGATAACATTGCACAGGAGTCAAACCAAAACACAGATATTATAAATGAACTACTCTTTGCAGATGAACAATGTTTGTTACAAGAAGAAGAACAAAAACTACAACAACATGTTGATTCATTGCTCACTAACTGTACAAAATTTGACATGAAAATAAACACCTCAAAAACTTAAGTAATGACCATAGGAAAGAAACACAGTAAAGTAAACATAAAGATCAATGACATACAATTAGAACAAGTTCAAGAATTCAAGTACTTAGGATGCATATTTACAGAAGATGGAAGACTCGATAAAGAGATACAGGCTAGAGTTCAGAAAGCTAATGCAGTCAACTACCAACTGGCCCCACTTCTTCGTCATCCAAAGATCTCATTACCAGCCAAATAACGGATGATCAACAGCATTTTCATCCCTACATTATGTTATCAGTGCCAAACGAGGACAATGAACAAATCACAAATGCAAAAAATAACTACGTGTGAAATGCGATGTCTCCGAAGAGTCACCAACAATACACGAAGAGACAGAGTCACAAACGTCAGCATTAGAGACAAAGTTGGAACAAGAGCATGCATGAAACATATTGAAAGACAGAGAATGAAGTGGTTTGGCCATTTAGTAAGAATGCAACCGTATCAGATTGCCTATAAGGCCTTTTACGGTAGAACATCAGGAAGAAAGGCCAGACGTAGACCCAGGAAAAAATGGATAGATGGAGTAGCTGAATACGGCCAGAATATCCAGAAAACTGTCACTCAAATCACGCGAGAGGCACAAAACAAATATTTTAAACCACGACACTGGGCTGCAACCCAGTAATAGTGAAGAAGACAATAGATAGATAGACATATTTGATTGTTACATATATGATTGTTACTTATTTGATTGTTACATATATGACCGTTACATATATGACTTTTACATATATGACTGTTACATATTTGATTGTTACATATATGACTGTTACATATTTGATTGTTACATATATGATTGTTACATATATGACTGTTACAGATATGACTGTTACATATATGATTGTTACATATATGATTGTTACATATTTGACTGTTACATATTTGACTGTTACATATATGACTGTTACATATATGACTGTTACATAAATGACTTACATACATGACTGTTACAGACACTAACATGACTGTTACATATATGACTGTTACATACATAACTATTACATATATGACTGTTACATACATGACTGTTAAACATATGACTGTTACATATTTGACTGTTACATACATGACTGTTACATATATGACTTTGAACAAAGAAGACACAAACAACAGATTGCACAATTTATTGCCTGGCATATTTCGCTGTATTTTGTCAGCTTCATACTACAGTAACATAAATGAAGCAGATCAGTGAATCCTTTATAAGCATTGCTTTTTCCACCCATACTAGAATGTGCTCAGCGACCCGAATCTCCAGGCATCGATCAGTTCTGCCCACATAAGCAGCTTCACATCTGCATTTCAACTGGTAGACACAATCTGATTCGGCGTACATCGACACTGGTTGTTTTACAGAGGGCATCGGAATTCCTGTGGTTTTAAATCTGATAACAGGCATGGCTGCATCAAATGCTTGCCGTCAAATTCTCCAAGCAAACCTGGTGGTCAGTTTGACAATATTTCTGTTGATTTTCTAGATTTGATTTTCTTTGTGAGATGAAGGTGAAGATAATATTGAAAAATCTGATGACTCTGGCTGTGATAAATCTATCAAAGTGCCATGAAAAACATCATCGACAGTGAAACATTGGTGTGTGGCTTTAAAGTCAAGTCTAACTAAGACTTGACCAGCAGTTAGACCTTCCGTAGCAAACACTAGTGCAGCAGTTTCCGATACCGATAGTTCTAGTGAAAATATTTGTTCAGAGTCTGAAGATTTTAAAGATATTGTGTCTGTGCCTGCACATGATGAAGATAACACAGACAGACCCTCCAATAGAGCATAGGCCCTCAACCAACTCAGGCCAAGTGATAGTTGCAGAACTGTGCTGGTACTTACAAAAAATGCACATCTTGATCTTCTGGTTACTTATCGATGTATCTTTCATTGTTGTCGCTGCAGACACTTGCGACAAAGTGTTCTTACTTTTTACCCACCGTTTAGATGCCATTCTGATAAACGCACAATCGATGCAAAAATGTCACCGTAGTAAGCAAACTGATCGTAACAGTAAATAAAATTGGTTCATAGTCCGCTAGTTTCCGCGAAAAAATAATGGTCACAAACCTGATTTAATTTACAAACCAGATTTAAAATATTTACGATGTGTAACTCTGGTGAACATGAAACTTCCTGAATCCGCAAAACTTTGTGATACGGTGTGTAGCCGGGCGTAGATGACACACCGGTTTTCATTGGTCGGCAGCTGACCTGTGGCAGCTTGCTGTGTTAATAGGTTCTGCTCGGGTAAAGACGATGTACACTGTTTTCCGCATGTTTATCTTACCTTGGAAGAAATAAAATGTTTTCATATGATTGAGGTCCGCGTGGTTTCGAATTTTCTTCGGACAAGCTCCCCACTTGAAATGAATTGATGCTTCACTTGGAATGAATCGTGGTCTGCTTGGAATGAACCTTAACGTCGACTTGAAATGTACCTTGGTTTACACCAGCTTTAACGTCTAGGGTTGACAACACTAACGCCACTCAGCTTCTTGGTACAATCTGTCAGTTTATTCTGGTCCTTTTATTTCACATATTCAAACATTATTCGCACTTCTATCACTCGCGATATATTCGAACATTAACCATTCTCGCGACAGAAAACTACATCACAACTACATCTTCAATTACTACAACCGTCTTCACTGACTTCTGATGATCGACTGACCACGAGGCTAGCTCGGGCTTCGCCTCGCTTACTCCACCGGCCACAAGTATCTCGTGCCGTCACTTGTAGCACGGACTTCCTGCTTGCCACAATGTACTCGTGGAGACCATGCAAAGCAGGGTCATCACACTATCCTCTGCTATTGCATGCAGCTCACCCCCATGTCTTGCCCCATCTGTATAACTGCACTCTCTAGCTCTACATGAATGAATGATTCTATCACACCACAGACAGACTAGTCACAGTAAACAGCTACAGGAGACTTACATTACTAGTGGAATGAAGCTGTCAGTGAATTGCTTCTCAAACAGGTGGAATAACGTATTTGCCTGACTGACAACATCAAAGAAATAAATCTCAGGTTCTGTTTTTGGCTCAGCAGGTGGGATGCCTGTGGTGAAACAACAGAAACCGCACGTTCAGAGGATTTCAATCTGTTAGTCACACATAGCACAGTAGAAGTGCCTCTACACAGCCCTTTCCACATGTCCATACTATAACTGGACATGTCCCTGCCATTACTGGACATGTCCCTACCATAACTGGACATGTTCCTACCATAGATGGACATCTCCCTACCATAACTGGACATCTCCCTACCATAACTGGACATCTCCCTACCATAACTGGACATCTCCCTACCATAACTGGACATCTCCCTACCATAACTGGGCATGTTCCTACCAAATATGGACATGTCCCTACCATAACTGGATATCTCCCTACCATAACTGGACATGTCCCTGCCATTACTGGACATGTCCCTACCATAACTGGACATGTTCCTACCATAGATGGACATGTCCCTACCATAACTGGACATCTCCCTACCATAACTGGACATCTCCCTACCATAACTGGACATCTCCCTACCATAACTGGACATCTCCCTACCATAACTGGACATGTCCCTACCATAACTGGACATCTCCCTACCATAACTGGACATCTCCCTACCATAACTGGACATGTCCCTACCATTACTTGACATGTCCCTACCATAACTGGACATGTCCCTGCCATTACTGGACATGTCCCTGCCATTACTGGACATGTCCCTGCCATTACTGGACATGTTCCTACCATAGATGGACATGTCCCTACTATTACTGGACATGTTCCTACCATAGATGGAAATGTCCCTGCCATTACTGGACATGTCCCTACCATAACTGGACATGTTCCTACCATAGATGGACATGTCCCTACCATAACTGGACATGTTCGTACCAAAACTGGACATGTCCCTACCATACCTGGACATGTCCCTACCATTACTGGACATATCCCTACCATAACTGGACATGTCCCTGTCATTACTGGACATGTCCCTACCATAACTGGACATGTCCCTACCATAACTGGACATGTCCCTACCATAACTGGACATGTCCCTACCATAACTGGACATGTCCCTACCATAACTGGACATGTCCCTACCATAACTGGACATGTCCCTACCATAACTGGACATGTCCCTACCATAACTGGACATGTCCCTACCATAACTGGACATGTCCCTACCATAACTGGACATGTCCCTACCATAACTGGACATGTCCCTACCATTACTGGACATGTCCCTACCATTACTGGACATGTCCCTACCATAACTGGACATGTCCCTACCATAGACTGGACATGTCCCTACCATAACTGGACATGTCCCTACCATAACTGGACATTGTCCCTACCATAACTGGACATCTCCCTACCATAACTGGACATGTCCCTACCATAACTGGACATGTCCCTACCATAACTGGACATGTCCCTACCATAACTGGACATGTCCCTACCATAACTGGACATGTCCCTACCATAACTGGACATGTCCCTACCATTACTGGACATGTCCCTACCATAACTGGACATGTCCCTACCATTACTGGACATGTCCCTGCCATTACTGGACATGTCCCTGCCATAACTGGACATGTCCCTGCCATTACTGGACATGTCCCTACCATTACTGGACATGTCCCTACCATAGATGGACATGTCCCTGCCATAGATGGACATGTTCCTACCATAAATGGACATGTTCCTACCATAAATGGACATGTCCCTACCATAACTGGACATGTCCCTACCATAACTGGACATGTTCGTACCAAAACTGGACATGTCCCTACCATAACTGGACATGTCCCTACCATTACTGGACATGTCCCTACCATAACTGGACATGTCCCTGTCATTACTGGACATGTCCCTACCATAACTGGACATGTCCCTACCATTACTGGACATGTCCCTACCATAACTGGACATGTCTCTACCATAACTGGACAAGTCCCTACCATAACTGGACATGTTTGTGCCAAAACTGGACATGTCCCTACCATAAATGGACATGTCCCCAGACAGACAACAATACATACATTGATATATCTATATATTCTATCTACCTACATTACATACATTACATACATTCAGTCAGTATATCAGTTCTCGTTATGCCTAGTGGCACATGAGGCTTCAAAGAGGACTTTCCATGCTTTCCTGTCCTGTGCAATCTTCAGTGCAGTTTTCCATGTCAAAGATGCCGCACTCAGGTCACTTTCCATCGTTCGTCTCCATGTTGTTTTTGGGCGCCCCTGTTTTCTCTTTCCCTCTGGTCTCCATGTGAGAGCTGTCTTGGCAGGTATATCGGAAGTCATTCTCATAACGTTGCCAAGCCATTTCCATCTTCTCTTTGTAATCATACTGTCTAAAGTTTCTTGGTTTGTAGCTTGAAGTAGTTTAGTGTTTGAGATTGTATCTGGCCAAAAAATTTTGATAATTCTACGTAGACATGTTTGGTGGAAGGTGGACAGCTTGTGTACCCTTTTTGGTCATTCTCCAGCATTCCGCTGAATAAAGAAGAACTGGCAAAATGATGCTCTTGTGGAGTCGGAGTTTCGTTCCTCTGCAGTAATTGTTGAATTTCCAGATTTGTCTCATCCTTTCAAAAGCAGCTCTAGCTTTGTTCAGACGTGACTGTATGTCTTCCTCTGTCCCTCCCAGTAGGGACACCACACTGCCAAGATATGTGAATTGTTCTACATTTTCAAGTGATTGGTTATTTATGGTCACTGGTTGTTGGTTTGGACTGTTTGTCATGATCTTAGTTTTCTTTGTATTTATTCTCAGTCCCACCATTTCTGCTGTGCAGTGTAGTCTGTTACTTTTCTCTTGTATATGTTCATGTTTATGTGATATAGTGCTATATCATCTGCAAAATCAAGGTCCTCAAGCATGGTGAAGGGAGTCCATTGTATGCCTCCTAATGTCCTGTCTACTGTGTTCTTTAGTATTCAATCAATCACAAGGTTGAAGAGGAAAGATGACATAACACATCCCTGTCTTACACCTGACTTTACTGGGAAAGATGTAATTTTTTATACTGCAGGAAAAGTCTTTATAGAAGAGAGCAATTATGTTGACTATTTTTTCTGGAATTCCATAATGTCGTAAAATTTTCCACAGACCGTCTCTATGGACGCTGTGAAAAGCTTCCTCAACATTACATACATTGATATATCTATATATCTATCTACAGAACCAACATTACATACATTGATATATCTATATATCTATCTACAGAACCAACATTACATACATTGATATTTCTATATATCTATCTACAGAACCAACATTACATACACTGATATATCTATATATCTATCTACAGAACCAACATTACATACATTGATATATCTATATATCTATCTACAGAACCAACATTACATACATTGATATATCTATATATCTATCTACAGAACCAACATTACATACATTGATATATCTATATATCTATCTACAGAACCAACATTACATACATTGATATATCTATATATCTATCTACAGAACCAACATTACATTCACTGATATATCTATCTACAGACCCTCCTGGAGCCATTCAATAGGTTCCAGCATAACAGCCAGACACAACAGGTAGCATGCATTTTACCGAGACATTTACTGAACAATGTCCAAATAAAGAGAAGAGATCTGCCATCCCTCTCCTATATCTACACTGACAGCATTCTAAATTCGAATGTACCAAATTCTACAGCCCATGAGCTTCAACAGACTGAAACAAATGTGCTTCATTCAATAGACCAGAACTACTCTTGCATGTCTAACCTGTTCCACTGACAGAGTGCAAATGAATAAAATACACGCAGCTGTGTTCTCCACAAGCACCTGATTCACAGTGGCAGCACTTTCCACATATTTGTAGTGGCAGATGTTCTCCACAAGCACCAGATTCACAGTGACAGCACTTTCCACACATTTGTAGTGGCAGATATTCTCTCAAGATTCACCAGGCCTACAGACTTCATGCGATCTAAGTATTTCACTAACTTTAGTCAACCAAATCATGAATGTTAATGTGCACTCTCTCAGACTTTGACCTCTGCAATACCTACTCAAAGCATGAGTGCTGCACACAACACAACACTGCAGGCAATAATGAATCATTGTACAAAATCACACACGGACTGGACAAATGACTATTAACAGAAATCAATGAAACTGCAAACCTGAGAGTCCAATCTCCACAGCATAGTCAATATGCTCTATAACCAAATACTGCACCAGCAGTTCAAATATCTTGATGGCATTAGATGCCATATCTGACTGCAAGGACAACTGAAACAGACACATTAAAGGGCTCCTGTAAATGAGTACAACTGTGTGTGTGTGTGTGTGTGTAGTGTGTGTAAAAATGTAAAAAGGTTAAGTCGGGAGATGTGAACCAGCGTCATTGCACACGGTTATAAACCATAAGTGCTGTGCCACCAGCACGGACAACTGATAAGAATTGTCCGCATGTGTCGCCGTTCGCACGTAACTCTGTAGCTACAGCAACGTTCCTCCTATTATCCCAGAGTGTCAACACTGGTACCCATTTCCTAGTGCCTGGGTGAACCCCGGGAACCGCCCGATTTCAAACACCAACCGTGGGCTGCAGAGAGTCGCCGCTGGATTTGAAAGTGACCCTTTCATCGACTGTGCTAACGGGGCCCCTAGGTGTGTGTGTGTGTGTGTGTGTGTGTGTGCGTGCGTGCATGCATGCATGTGTGTGTGTGTGTGTCACTGGAGTATCCACTCAGTAGAAATATTGCATATCTCTGTCACTAAAGTATCCAGTCAGTGCAAGCACTGCATATCTCTGTCACTGGAGTATCCAGTCAGTACAAGTACTGCATATCTCTGTCACTGGAGTATCCAGTCAATACAAGTACTGCACATCTCTGTCACTAGAGTATCCAGTCAGTACAAGTACTGCAAATCTCTGTCACTGAAGTATCCAGTCAATACAAGTACTGCATATCTCTGTCACTAGAGTATCCAGTCAGTACAAGTACTGCATATCTCTGTCACTAGAGTATCCAGTCAATACAAGTACTGCATATCTCTGTCACTAGAGTATCCAGTCAATACAAGTACTGCATATCTCTGTCACTAGAGTATCCAGTCAGTACAAGTACTGCACATCATATCTCTGTTATTTGCAAACGACTGTGTGGTGTGTAAAGAGTTAATGAAGCCAGGGCTTTGTGAAGCATGGTTACACACATGCATTCATGTTGTGCTGACAGGTTGTGAGTGTAAACATCTGATCTACTTCAAGTTGTGAAATAGAGTTTGCTTGATATCATGGGTGACTGCAGACTCTGTTGACGAGAGTGCATGGTACCTGAGTCAGTCAGCTTTTAGTCAGTCTAAGTGTGTTTTATTGTTTTAGTCCGTTGGAGCTAGGATAAACTGTCCAGATGACTGCGGTGGATCATAAGTTTGACTTCAGAATTCTGACATTGATTTCCTAGAATGGACTTGTGTCGGCCATGCGTGTGAGGTTAATACAGTTGCAGCTATGTGGCACACTGGTTGACAGGGTGTCTTTAAGAGCTACATAAGGTAGCAGATATATACTACATACAGGCCATATACTGTAAACCAGAAAGGCAGACATAAACTGCATTTAGATTACATACTGTCAGTATGAGAACAGATCCAGACAGGCAGACATTTATCACAGACAGATTACATATTGTCAGGGCAAAAACATAGGCAGACAGGCAGACGTATATCACATACAGGCCACATATTGACACTGTAAGAACAGAACCAGACAAGCAGACATACACTACATAAAGGTTACATACTGTCAGTGCTAAAACAGGACCAGACAGGCAGACATACACCACATAAAGATGATATAATGACAGTGTAAGAACAGAACCAGACAGGCAGACATACACCACATAAAGATGACATACTGACAGTGTAGGAACAGAACCAGACAGGCAGACATACACCACATAAAGGTTACATACTGACAGTGTAGGAACAGAACTAGACAGACATACACCACATAAAGATGACATACTGACAGTGTAGGAACAGAACTAGACAGGCAGACATACACCACATAAAGATGATATAATGACAGTGTAGGAACAGAACTAGACAGACAGACATACACTACATAAAGATGACATAATGACAGTGTAAGAACAGAACCAGACTGGCAGACATACACCACATAAAGATGACATACTGACAGTGTAAGAACAGAACCAGACAGGCAGACATACACCACATAAAGATGACATACTGACAGTGTAAGAACAGAACCAGACTGGCAGACATACACCACATAAAGATGACATACTGACAGTGTAAGAACAGAACCAGACAGGCAGATATACACCACATAAAGATGATATAATGACAGTGTAAGAACAGAACCAGACAGGCAGACATACACCACATAAAGGTTACATACTGTCAGTGCAAAAACAGGACCAGACAGGCAGACATACACCACATAAAGATGATATACTGACAGTGTAAGAACAGGACCAGACAGGCAGACATACACCACATAAAGATGACATACTGTCAGTGTAAGAACAGGACCAGACAGGCAGACATACATCACATAAAGATGACATACTGACAGTGTAAGAACAGAACCAGACAGGCAGACATACACCACATCGATCCAGCGGCGCATGAGCTTTCGCCCAACATACACCACATAAAGATGACATACTGACAGTGTAAGAACAGAACCAGACAGACAGACATACACCACATAAAGATGACATACTGACAGTGTAAGAACAGAACCAGACAGGCAGACATACATCACATAAAGATGACATACTGACAGTGTAAGAACAGAACCAGACAGGCAGACATACACCACATAAAGATGATATACTGACAGTGTAAGAACAGAACCAGACAGGCAGACATACACCACATAAAGATGACATACTGACAGTGTAGGAACAGGACCAGACAGGCAGACATACATCGCATAAAGATGACATACTGACAGTTGTTGTGTGCTAAATTGAGTCAGCACACTACCAAGTGTCTAGCAGGTATACTCTTCAGCTTCCTTTCTTAACAAGACAACTCGACGACGATGACACCGTCATACAAGTTTATTTAACAGGATACATGACACAAATGCAGAGACGTAGTTATTGATCACAGCTGACATTCGCACATCGTTCATTTGTCCCCACAGCTCTCTAGCTCTCAATGTGTAGTGACCTCTCCTGGACTACTGCAGATACTAGGATGACGGCGTCCCACTCTCTGGACGCGTCGTACAGCTGAACAGGACGACTTCTCCCATTCACTGGACCTTGATATTAATTCAGCATACAACACGGCTGACTGGAGACGGACTTCTCTTGCCATACTCCGAAAGCAGGCACTACTGGTCTTCCCGTCCCCTGGACTTACTTTGCCAGCGGGACCATATTTCCCATACCGCAATCCCGACACTTACTCGGACCTAAATGCCCGATAGTCGTACGGTATTCTAGTCGGTTAGACTCCAATGACCGACAGGACTTCTACCATAAGTCCTCTCATACTTTTGGACATGTACCGCAATCTCGACACTTACTCGGACCTAAATGCCCGATAGTCGTACGGTATGTTTGTCCGTTAGACTCGAGAGATTACCTGGACCCTGACTTGGTCCCTGACTCTCATTTTCTCTCTCTTCTCGCTTCTCACTCTATCTTGACTGCCCCCGAGGGGCTTTAGCCCTCAGGCTACAGCTCTTCTCTCTGGACTGTCTACGCAGCCCAATTTATATATGTCGAATCCATGTAGGTGGATGGTGATTACACGAGAGGCACGCTTGTGTGGGCGTTCTCGTGAATCATGATCCTGTGGGTGTTGTCGGGACTCGCTCATGTGAGCGTCCCCGAGGATCACGCTTATGTGGGTGGCTGATGTTACCCGAGAATCACGCTGTCACTTAATTCACACTTTATCTCGTTATCCACGCTTTCAGCCCACCACACAGAATCCTACGCGTCCATTTTCTCTCGTGCAAGCACGCCTTGTTCATGAATAGACGTTTTCACTGGTCTCCTCTTAATACTCGGATCATATTGACACTCTTTCCTCGTGAACTTACAGGAAGTACAGGCATACCATTGTCCCTTCCCATAATATCACACTTAACCCAAATCAGCGCGCAACAGAACCAGACAGGCAGACATACACCACATAAAGATGATATACTGACAGTGTAAGAACAGAACCAGACAGGCAGACATACACCACATAAAGATGACATACTGACAGTGTAGGAACAGGACCAGACAGGCAGACATACATCGCATAAAGATGACATACTGACAGTTGTTGTGTGCTAATTTGAGTCAGCACACTACCAAGTGTCTAGCAGGTATACTCTTCAGCTTCCTTTCTTAACAAGACAACTCGACGACGATGACACCGTCATACAAGTTTATTTAACAGGATACATGACACAAATGCAGAGACGTAGTTATTGATCACAGCTGACATTCGCACATCGTTCATTTGTCCCCACAGCTCTCTAGCTCTCAATGTGTAGTGACCTCTCCTGGACTACGGCAGATACTAGGATGACGGCGTCCCACTCTCTGGGCGCGTCGTACAGCTGAACAGGACGACTTCTCCCATTCACTGGACCTTGATATTAATTCAGCATACAACACGGCTGACTGGAGATGGACTTCTCTTGCCATACTCCGAAACCAGGCACTACTGGTCTTCCCGTCCCCTGGACTTACTTTGCCAGCGGGACCATATTTCCCATACCGCAATCCCGACACTTACTCGGACCTAAATGCCCGATAGTCGTACGGTATTCTAGTCGGTTAGACTCCAATGACCGACAGGACTTCTACCATAAGTCCTCTCATACTTTTGGACATGTACCGCAATCTCGACACTTACTCGGACCTAAATGCCCAATAGTCGTACGGTATGTTTGTCCGTTAGACTCGAGAGATTACCTGGACCCTGACTTGGTCCCTGACTCTCGTTTTCTCTCTCTTCTCGCTTCTCGCTCTATCTTGACTGCCCCGAGGGGCTTTAGCCCTCAGGCTACAGCTCTTCTCTCTGGACTGTCTACGCAGCCCAATTTATATATGTCGAATCCGTGTAGGTGGATGGTGATTACACGAGAGGCACGCTTGTGTGGGCGTTCTCGTGAATCATGATCCTGTGGGTGTTGTCGGGACTCGCTCATGTGAGCGTCCCCGAGGATCACGCTTATGTGGGTGGCTGATGTTACCCGAGAATCACGCTGTCACTTAATTCACACTTTATCTCGTTATCCACGCTTTCAGCCCACCACACAGAATCCTACGCGTCCATTTTCTCTCGTGCAAGCACGCCTTGTTCATTCTCCTCTTAATACTCGGATCATATTGACACTCTTTCCTCGTGAACTTGCAGGAAGTACAGGCATACCATTGTCTCTTCCCTTAATATCACACTTAACCCAAATCAGCGCGCAACAGAACCAGACAGGCAGACATACACCACATAAAGATGATATACTGACAGTGTAAGAACAGAACCAGACAGGCAGACATACACCACATAAAGATGACATACTGACAGTGTAGGAACAGGACCAGACAGGCAGACATACATCACATAAAGATGACATACTGACAGTGTAGGAACAAAACCAGACAGGCAGACATACACCACATAAAGATGACATACTGACAGTGTAGGAACAAAACCAGACAGGCAGACATACACCACATAAAGATGACATACTGACAGTGTAAAAACAGAACCAGACAGGCAGACATACACCACATACAGATGACATACTGACAGTGTAAGAACAGAACCAGACAGGCAGACATACACCACAAAAAGATGACATACTGACAGTGTAAGAACAGAACTAGACAGGCAGACATACACCACATAAAGGTTACATACTGTCAGTGCAAAAACAGGACCAGACAGGCAGATATACACCACATAAAGATGATATACTGACAGTGTAAGAACAGGACCAGACAGGCAGACATACACCACATAAAGATGACATACTGTCAGTGTAAGAACAGGACCAGACAGGCAGAAATACACCACATAAAGATGACATACTGACAGTGTAGGAACAGAACCAGACAGGCAGACATACACCACATACAGATGACATACTGACAGTGTAAGAACAGAACCAGACAGGCAGACATACACCACATAAAGATGACATACTGACAGTGTAAGAACAGAACCAGACAGACATACACCACATAAAGATGACATACTGTCTGACACCGCTTAAATGCATTTTTGGTATCCTGGAGGATGTTGATTGCAACTTCCTGTGACAAAAATGTTTCTCCACCAAAATTCTCCACGGTTGGCCCAGCCTTTGTGACAGTGCCAAGCTTGGCTTGAATATCACGTTTCAGTTCATAGATTCTGTGTAGAATGTGCTCACTTTCACAATATTACACAAAATATTCACTGAAAATGTATTTAAAGCATGACTGACATCTAGGTACTGAGTGAATGTGACATCCAACATTTGAAGGTATAAATGAGATATCCAGAATTTGACTTACATTGTGTGTGAGTGAGTGAGATTCAACATTTGAACAACTTCCAAGTGAAAGACATGCAACACTTAACCAACATCTAGGTCTTAGTGAAAGACACGCAACATGTGCCCAACATCTCAGTATGAGTACGACACATCCAACATTTGACCAACACTAAATATGAGTGAAATCCAACGACAAATATCTAGGTATGAGTGAGAGACATTGAATATTTGACTAACATCTGGGTATGAGTGAGAGACATTGAATATTTGACTAACATCTGGGTATGAGTGAGAGACATTGAATATTTGACTAACATCTGGGTATGAGTGAAATCCAACACCTGATCAACATCTAGGTATGAGTGAGAGACATTCAATATTTGACCAACACTTGACTGACAGTTAGGTATGAATAAATGAGACTTTAATACTGCATTGATGGTTAGTCAAAGCTAACCGACTTCACTACATCCAGCAACTGAAATGAGGCAGGTTAACTGTATACCTGGGTTCCCTCCCTACCTGCCTCATTTCCTACTCTACTAGCCTAGGTTTCGTTGCTGTACAAATAAATAATTTTCAGTATTGCTAAACAACAATATATATACATTGAATATATGACTATATATATATATATATATAGATATATATATATTTATATATATATCTGGGTATATATATATATATATATATATTTGACTAACATATTGGTATTAAAGAAGACATTATTAATATTTTATAAGGAAAAGTAGAAACAATCAGATGTAAAATCAGATGTGAAACTGATACAGGCAAGGCATGTATGAACTTGTTTTACACTGGCATAAGGTTATAGCAGTGAACAGACTGCATGAAAACATGAAGAAATGTAAAAGACATGACAGACATAATCAGTTTTATTGTTATTTCATTTCATACAATTTATGTGCTGGTGCATGCATGCACACAAAGTTGGGTTGGGGGCAGGGGTGCATTACTTTCTGAATGCCTCCCTTCAACTGTTAATGGCATCAGTGAAATAGAAAGTTGAGAGAGAGAGAAAGAGAGAGAGACAGAGCGGGGGAGAGAGAGAGAGAGGGAGGGGAAGCAGTGCTGTTTAACAGAGAGTAACTGAGAACAGTCAAATGCTAGGCATATTGAACTCTACCAGACAAGATAAACATCAGAAGAATGAACACACAAAAAAGAATGCCAACTTGAGGTCCTGGAGAAACTGGGAATAAAAAGAGTTGCTGACAGACAAGAGACTAAGTATGCTGGAGATCCATAGAAGCCAACTGTGATTGTGGAGATGGCACCGGATTACTGATGAAGAACAAAATACAAAAACCATACACACCCTCCAGACTGGATTTGTCTTTTGACATGCTCCTTTTTCTCATAATAGTGCTGCAGAACTTGGGAACAGCGTTGTTTCAAAGACTGTAGTTCCACCCTGTCAAAGGCAAGCACAATCATCAAGTTACTTGTGTCATTCCCCACAATATTATCAAACTACATTGTCACCCACAGACAAGCACAATCACCGAGTTACCTGTGTCATTCTCTAAACTATAATTAAACAAGGCTGCCACCCACAGACAAGCACAATCATCAAGTTACTTGTGTCATCACTCACAATATTATCAAACTACACTGTCGCCCACAGACAAGCACAATCATCAAGTCACCTGTGTCATCAATAACAATATTATCAAACTACATTGTCACCCACAGACAAGCACAATCATTGAGTTACCTGTGTCATCCCCTAAACTATAATTAAACAAGGCTGCCACCCACCAACAAGCACAATCATTAAGTTACTTGTGTCATAACCTAAACTATCATTAAACTAGGCTGTCACCCCCAGACAAACACAATCACTGAGTTACTGGTGTCATCACCCACACTAGGCTGTCACCCCCAGAAAAGCACAAGTGTTGAGTTACTGGTGTCATCACCCACAATATCAACACACTAGGCTGTCACCCCCAGAAAAGCACAAGTGTTGAGTTACTGGTGTCATCACCCACAATATCAACACACTAGGCTGTCACCCCCAGAAAAGCACAATCGTTGAGTTACTGGTGTCATCACCCACTGACCTGGTCTGTCTGACAACAGCCGTGCTGAGGCACAGCGGTTGAGGTGTAGTTCAAAGAAGCTCAAGAATGAGCCCACATCAGAGGTTGTTGGTTCAGACAGGGTTTAGTAACCGCAAGGCCAATGTTGTGGCAGGATTAGTAATGGGAACCACCTCTGGGGTAAACTGCTTGATTCATTGTTTACTTAGATTAACCCTTTCACTGCTACTATCATTGTATGCTTGTCCCATAGACTGCTAATCACATATTTGTGCATCTTCCATTTTCGGTGCCCTGACTGCTGTAAACACGACTCTAACGTTCCTTGCAGACTGGTGACATTAATTCTTGGAAGTGAAATGGCAACATACATTATCCAAAGTTGAATCCCACTGACCCATTTACATACAATTAAAAGATCTATCACGTGCGTTTAGGTGTACAGTAGAACCTCGCTTAACGAGCACCTCTCATAACAAGTAATTCGCATAACAAGCAAAACAAGTAGTAAAATACTTGCTTAACGAGCGATGTTTCGCAGAACGAGTGGCGCGGAGAGGGGAAGTCCCCTATTGTGCGTATGTTACATCAGTCTGTGTTTAGCACTCATTCCAGTAGCATTGTAGTGTCGCTTGTGATTACATATTTTCTCAAACTTGTGTTTTTTGGTATATATGTGCGTGAATCCTCCAGGCCAAGATGACCTCCCTGAAAAATTTAAGTTCATCAAGATCTAGTTTCTGCCTCCCAATACCACTCCGTTACTCCAGTCCTTGGACCAGCAAGTTATTTCTAACTCTAAGAAGCTCTACACTAAATGATTCTTCCAGCATTGTTTTCAGGTGACCGAAGGGACCAACCCCAAGAGTTTTGGAAAAATCACTTTCACATTGTTGCCTGCCTTAAGATGACTGACAAGGAGGGGGAAGAGGTTACCAAGAGAACCCTAACTTCTGCTTGGAAGACGCTTTGGCCGGAGAGTGTTGTTGATTTGTGACTTTGAGGGGTTTGAGACAGTACCCGTGGAACCTGTAGTCAACAAGATTGTGTCTTTTGCCACTATCATGGGATTGAAGGTGGATAACAGTGAAATCGAAGAGCTTGTGGAAGAGCACAGCCAAGAGCTGACCACCGAAGAGCTTATGGAGTTGCACTGTGTTTCACAGCAAGAAGTTTTGGGGGAAAGTTTGTCAGAGGAGGAGGAGGTAACAGAAAAGCAACAATCTTCTAGCAAAATAAGATAAATGCTGAAAGCATGGGAAGCTGTTGCATCTTACATTGAGAAGCATCTTCCTAATAAGGAAGTAGCTATGCGTGCCGCAAACTGATTAAATAATAATGCTGTATCGTATTTTCGATAAATTTTGAAGCGTCAGCAAAAGCAAATGTCTCTGGACATCTTTCTAGTAAAAAATAATGGCTGTTTATCATAATTATTTCGACTTTTTTTTCTTCTGCGAATCGAATTCGCATTCCAGGTGGGTTCGTTCCGCGTTTGAAGAAAAGATGAAGATGTTTCACTCTCCTTAACAATATGTATGTAATTTTCTTTAAATAAACGTTGAACATAGTGTTTTGTGAGTATTTTTTCGAAACGGAACGCATTATCATATTTTACATTAATTTATATGAGAAAAACTGTTTCGCATAACGAGTGTTTCGCTTAACGAGTATGATTCTGAAACGAATTATGCTTGTTAAGAGAGGTTCCACCATATTTAGATGTATCCGTGTTATCCTGTTGCTTTATTTACCATAGAAGCGCAGTCAGTGAACTGTGTATTTGTTGCCCTGAAATATATTTCTCAATTGTGAAACAGGGGCCATTGAGTCCAGCTTCTAGTGCTTCCTTTTTTAAAAAGGCAAGCTTTCTTGACATCATCATATTGCGTCTGACTTGTCAGCACTCAGGCCAACCACCAATTTACCTGAAGTGAATATTTTTTTCATAGGTGTACAAAATATAGCCGGCGCCACTGACACATCTTGTGCGTTTGAAGGACACAAATGTATTCATCATTCAATTAAAGATCATCTTCACTGCACATTGGTAAAGTATTCAGCTCAGGGGAAAGAATCAGCGGGGATTTTGCTTAGCACAGTGATAACCTTGGCTGAGGAGTACGTAGCAGTGAAAGAGTTTAAGGCCTATGTTAGACTCTGGCGGGTTTGGATTTGTGTTATAGGATAGAAACATTGTCATGGAGTTGTCAATGAGTTGTAAAGCTCAAACAAATCTATTACAGCTATAGAACATAACATTGATCTATAAGTGTTGTAAAGCTCAACAAAATCTATTACAGCTATAGAACATAACAACAATGTCCTATAAGTGTTGTAAAGCTCAAACAAATTTATTACAGCTACAGAACACAACAAATTGATTCTACAATCGTTTAAAGCTCAACCAAATCTAATACAGCTATAGAACATAACAACAAGGTGCTACATGACAACCAGCAGCATGACGATGGAGGTGATGGCAGTGACACAAGCGCTTGCCTGGCTTGAAACACAAAAATACACCCGCGTGTGTATACTCAGTGATTCAATGAGTATGATCCGGAGGGTTCAGGCAGGTTCAGTGTGAAGACAATGGCTTGAATCATTACAGAAGTCCACTGTTCGTGGAGTCACCTTTATTTTTGTTCCGGGATACGCAGGCGTCAATGGAAATGAAAGAGCTGACAGGTTGGCTGGATCCGCTATCACTACCGACGGTCAGCCTATTGATCATGCTGATATTATCAGTGCCCTCAGAGAAATGGGAAGAATAGAGGACTTTGGTGGCAGTGAATCCACATCACTCGCCAGAATGGCAGACTTGGGAATTAAGATCGGCACAGCAAAAAACGAGACGCACACCAGCTACGCCAGAAGACTTGTTAATCAACATAGAACTGGTACTATTAGCCATCGGACGTTGGGGTTCATACTGAGGGGAGGATCTGAGCACCTATGGACATGTCCGGAGTGCAATGAGGATAACCCAACTAACTAACTAACTAACTAACAAGGTGCTACAATGGTTCTAAAGCTCAAATAAATCTATTACAGCTATAGAACATAACAACAAGGTTCTACAATGGTTCTAAAGCTCAACTAAATCTATGACAGTAGATTACTTAACAAAAAGAAGCCATGGTGGAGATACTTACTCAATATACTTCTCTAGATGATGAGAGAAGATAGAACGAGTCAGCTTATTAAGGAATGTGGAATCTCCCAGTTTAAATTCGTGTTCAGTACAAGCCTTGGATAAATCTGCTGTCAGCTTGCATGTTCTGAAAGGATACCATATTTCCATTGACAGTGGGGACATTTCTATAAAAACCCCCAGGCTCCAACAGATATTTCAGGGGTGTGTAGAACAAAGCACTACCAACACAGGGTTTGTAGTCAGAGAGATATTTCATCACTGCTAGGTAGTGCTTGCAAAAACATCTAGCAGAGAGTGTGCAAGAGATCTCTGACAGAGAAGATGACAAGTGGGTCTAGACAACAGTTCAGCAGTTGAGTGAGGCCAGTGGTTGACATGGAACAGTAAAAAAAAAAGGTTAAAGTGGAAGATTTCATTGCACCGGATTGTATGCTATATGGCTTTGTTACTCTCTCTGGAGAGCTTCGTTCAGTCAACGCCGACCCATTTTTGAGAAGCTCCTCTACAGCAACGACATTGTTGTCCTACAGGAAACACACCTCGGTGACGAGATCGTTAAAATTGCGGGCTTCCAATCCTTCTACAATAGACGGCACCTCGGACAGCTCATTCTTGTTCGTGACAACATACCGGTGTCTGAGGTGGACATGTCTGAGTGGGATAATGACGACCTACAAGTACACGCAGTCAGAGTGTTGGGCCCGGCCCAGTTTGTGATTGTCAATGTGTACGCCTGCAATGGAAAGGTGGATACAGCGAAATGGCAGAGTTTGCTCCAGACGGAGGAAAAGAAAGTCCTTTACTGCGGAGATTTCAACGCCAGAGGAAACCAGTGGGGAAATGTAATCACCAATAAACAGGGGGGAAGACCTGGAGGATGCCCTAGTGTCTGCCGATCTAGTATGCTTGAACGACGGAAAGGTTACCCGAATGGCAACCCGACAAGGGGATTCTGACAGCGTAATTGACCTGGCCCTAGTGTCTCCCTCCATTGCATCAGGATGCAGGTGGAGCACACTGGGATACCATGACAGTGATCACTTTCCTTGCGTCGTCCTGGTGGAGAAGAGCAACAACAAAGGTCATGTAATCAATGTGCCTGCTTTTCTAAATGACCGTACAGGGCAAGATGCCATTAGCAAAATCAGACGACGTAAAACAAGAGCAGATCGCAGACGGCGGGAGAGATGGGCCCAGCCACCATGGTGGAATGAAGAAGTCAACATGGCGTGGCTAGAAAAAAGGAACGCTGTCAAGGCATGGCAAAAGGCAAGGAAAATTGATCCGTCACTTTCTGAACGCCTGATCAGTCTAAAAGATGAGGTTAACAAGCGGACAGTGGCTTTCAAGTTAATTCCCAAAGAAGCCAAGACAGCGAAATGGAACGAATTCTGCAAGAGCATTTGCTCCGAGGGATCTCTTGTGACATTCTGGCGCCTTCAACAGAGCATGCACGGCGCCGCACGACCAAGGGGTATCCCTGATTTTCAGGGTACAGACCTGATATGGCAGAGAACTGATGCTGATAAAGGAAAAACCCTTCTTGCGCGCTACTTGGAGCAAACTGACCAAAAAGACGAAGCTGCAAGAATAGGGGTTAAGATGAAACTGTCGATGCTGTGCGAGAACACTGAGCTAGGCACTGATTTCACAATCACTGCAGACACCTTAAGAACTTGCCTCAAGAAATCGCGCAGCACTGCTCCAGGCCCTGACGGCATCCGATACAATGACATGCTGATGATGTCGAATGCTGATTTGAAAAGCGTGGCAAAGGAATTCAATATCAGCATCCAGAGTGGCCAGATACAAGAGGAATGGCTCCATAGTTATTTGTTCCCACTACCAAAGCCTAATAAAGACCACTCAAAGATCTGCGGCTACAGAATCATCTCGATGCAGAATACTGTTGGCAAACTTTTGGAAAAAATTGTCGCACAAAGATTGACCACCTACTTGGAACTACATGATAAGTTCCCATCAACACTTGGAGGGTACAGGTTGAAGAAAGAGACATGGTTCAATGCTGCTGTTTTCGCCTACGATGTGTACGAGGAATTTCAGATTAAAGAAGAGACATGTGCGGCAGTGTTGGACTTAGAAGATGCCTACAATAAAGTACCATACGAATATTTAATGCAATTACTGCTTAAACTAGAAGTCAATCCTATTCTGATCTGCTGGATTGCTGCAATCCTGTTCCAGAGAAAGATTGTACTAAGATGTGGTAGCTGGTCCTCAGAACCGCAAACGATATGTCCAGGCTTGCCACAGGGATCACCACTATCACCAGTCTTATTCAACGTTTATACGGTGATGATCACTGAGCAGCAGTTGAATGGAAAGGGAAGGACTTTGTCATTTGCTGATGACATTTTGATTTATCGACGAGGGCGTGATAGACAGGAGATCGCCAGCACAATGCACAAAGAACTCGATCGAATTGCCGCCTGGTGTGATGGTTCCAATGCCTATGTCAATCCTTCGAAGGCATCAGTGTCATGGTTCTCTTTGAACAATCACATTGTCAAGTCGGACTTACCAGAAGTGAAAATGCGTGATAATATATTGATCAGAACCAACGTTATGACGTTTCTCGGGGTAAGGTTCGATCGCAGCTTGTCATTCAGGGAACACGTTGACCATGTGATAACAAAAGCACGCAAAGGTCTATCTGCAATGAGGATTATGGCTGCTTCCAATATCGAGCAAAGACTACTAATACTTCTATTCTACGGTCTGGTCCTTTCACCCATTGAATACGCTCTGGCCATCCTCACTGTCAGTGCTATCCAGATTGAAAGACTCGAAAAGGTGCAAAATGAAGCCATGCGCATTATTTTGGGATGTACAAGAGACACATCCTGTGAAGCAATGAGGTATCTACTTGACTTTCCAACAATGAACCAAAGGATCAGAATGTGGAGGGCTCGGGCATACCTCAAAATATGTGCTGATAAGAAATACCCACTGCATCAAGCGCTTTTTAGTGAAAAGGGCGACAGACTGAAGAGGGGAAAATCGTGGCTAGGTCGGGCAGAAGATGTTATTAGGCAAATATGCAGCCTAACCGACATCATACCTGGTGCAGAATGGATACCTGTGCCTCAGGCGTTTATTTGTATATTTTCCTGTATTGTCACACTCAACAGGCGATGTAGAGAAGAGAATCCTGTTGCTGTTAATGCAGAGGTCAACGCTCTCATCGGTGAAAATTCAGACGAAGCAGATGCACTAATCTACACAGACGGATCCGTTATACGCCAAAGAAGAAGCGCATGGGCATTTACAGCACGCTCAGCGGGCAGAACAGTCAAAGAAGCCAACGGTGCCTTCTCCATGACAACCAGCAGCATGACGATGGAGGTGATGGCAGTGACGCAAGCGTTTGCCTGGCTTGAAACACAAAAATACACCCGCATATGTATACTCAGTGATTCAATGAGTATGATCCGGAGGGTTCAGGCAGGTTCAGTGCGAAGACAATGGCTTGAATCATTACAGAAGTCTACTGTGCGTGGAGTCACCTTTATTTTTGTTCCGGGACACGCAGGCGTCGATGGAAATGAAAGAGCTGACAGGTTGGCTGGATCCGCTATCACTACCGACGGTCGGCCTATGGATCATGCTGATATTATCAATGCCCTCAGAGAAATGGGAAGGATAGAGGACTTTGGTGGCAGTGAATCCACATCACTCGCCAGGATGGCAGACTTGGGAATTAAGATCGGCACAGCAAAAAACGAGACGCACACCGGACACGTCAGAAGACTTGTTAATCAACATAGAACTGGTACTATTAGCCATCGGACGTTGGGGTTCATACTGAGGGGAGGATCTGAGCACCTATGGACATGTCCGGAGTGCAATGACGATAACACAACTAACTAACTAACTAACTAACTAACTCTCTCTGGAGAATAGCTAGCTGTCTGCCAAAGGTGTCATAAAAAGCACAATCATTGCAGCTTGCAGACGATCCCCAGGAGCATCCGTAAAAACTACACGAGAACCAAGCAACGCAGAGATGAAATGAACACATGACCTTCATAAAGCTAGATCCCTTTGCCATGGAACCCTTGTAACTAGTACACTGTAACAACTGTCCAACATTAAACTGGAACTCTTGAAACAGGAACATTGTGCCAATTGCCCATAATTAGACTGGAACCCTTGTGACAGGGACACTGCCAATTGTCCATAATTAGACTGGAACCCTTGTGACAGGGACACTGTGCCAATTGTCCATAATTAGACTGGAGCCCTTGTAACAGGGACACTGTGCCGATTGCCCATAATTAGACTAGAACCCGTGTAACAGGGACACTGTGCCAATCATCCATAATTAGACTAGAACCCGTGTAACAGGGACACTGTGCCAATCATCCATAATTAGACTAGAACCCGTGTAACAGGGACACTGTGCCAATCATCCATAATTAGACTAGAACCCGTGTAACAGGGACACTGTGCCAATCATCCATAATTAGACTAGAACCCTTGTAACAGGGACACTGTGCCAATCATCCATAATTAGACTAGAACCCTTGTAACAGGGACACTGTGCCAATCATCCATAATTAGACTAGAACCCTTGTAACAGGGACACTGTGCCAATCATCCATAATTAGACTAGAACCCTTGTAACAGGGACACTGTGTGCCAATCATCCATAATTAGACTAGAACCCTTGTAACAGGGACACTGTGCCAATCATCCATAATTAGACTAGAACCCTTGTAACAGGGACACTGTGCCAATCATCCATAATTAGACTAGAACCCTTGTAACAGGGACACTGTGCCAATTGAGCATAATTAAACTGTAAACCAAATACAATATGTTCCCTAATATCATACAGGTTGTTCAAAACACTATATTCCCTAATATCACACAGGCTGTTCAGAACACTATATTCCATGATATCATACAGGCTCTTCAGAACAATATATTCCCTGATATCACACAGGCTGTTCAAAACACTATATTCCCTAATATCATACAGGCTGCTCAGAACAATATATTCCCTGATATCAAACAGGCTGTTCAAAACACTATATTCCCTAATATCATACAGGCTGTTCAGAACACTATATTCCATGATATCATACAGGCTATTCAGAACACTATATTCCCTGATATCATACAGGCTGTTCAAAACACTATATTCCCTGATATCATACAGGCTGTTCAAAACACTATATTCCCTAATATCATACAGGCTGCTCAGAACACTATATTCCATGATATCATACAGGCTCTTCAGAACACTATATTCCCTGATATCATACAGGCTGTTCAAATACAATATATTTCCTGATATCATACAGGCTGTTCAAATACAATATATTTCCTGATATCATACAGGCTGTTCAAATAAAAAATATTCCCTGATATACAGGCTGTTCAGAACAATATATTCCCCTGATATCATACAAGCTGTCCAAATTTAATATATTCCCTGATATCATACAGGCTGTTCAGAACACTATATTCCCTGATATCATACAAGCTGTTCAGAACAATTTATTCCCTGATATCATACAGGCTGTTCAGAACAACTTATTCCCTGATATACAAGCTGTTCAGAACAATTTATTCCCTGATATCAAACAGGCCGTTCAAGTGCAATATATTACCTGATATACAGATCATACAGATTGTTTAAGTAAGCTTCTGGATCAGACTGGTTCTCTAACCTGGATGCGATGTACCCCTGTCAAAGATAAATCAGTGTTAATGAGAAAATAATCACATGTCTCAAGTGTAAATAAAAAGATTACCCTAGACAGCCACCAAGTGCAGATTCAATAGTGACACAGCCAGATGTGGGCTTGAACATGGACACAGTACCTGCTGGTTCTACTTCCAGTAATGGACACAGTACCTGCTGGTTCTACTCCCAGTAATGGACACAGTGCCTGCTGATTCTACCCCTAGTAACAGACACAGTACCTGCTGGTTCTACCCTTAGTAATTAACACAGTACCTGCTGGTCCTACTCCCAGTAATGGACACAGTACCTGCTGATTCTACTCCCAGTAATGGAAACAGTAGCTGCTGGTTCTACTCCCAGTAATAGACACAGTACCTGCTCGTTCTACTCCCAGTAATAGACACAGTACCTGCTGGTTCTACTTTCAGTAACAGACACAGTACCTGCTGGATCTACTCCCAGTAATAGACACAGTACCTGCTGGTTCTACCTTCATTAATAGACACAGTACCAGCTGGTTCTACCCCTAGTAATTAACACAGTACCTGCTGGTTCTACCCCCAGTAATAGACACAGTAGCTGCTGGGTCTACCCCCAGTAATAGACACAGTACCTGCTGGTTCTACCCCTAGTAATTGACACAGTATCTGCTGGTTCTACCAACTGTAATAGACACAGTACCTATTGGTTCTACCCCCAGTAATAGACACAGTACCTGCTGGTTCTACCCCCAGTAATTGACACAGTACCTGCTGGATCTACTCCCAGTAAAAGACACAGTACCTGCTGGATCTACTATCAGTAATAGACACAGTACCTGCTGGTTCTACCCCCCCCCCCCCAGTAATAGACACAGTACCTGCTGGTTCTACCCCCAGTAATAGACACAGTACCTGCTGATTCTACCCCCAGTAATAGACACAGTACCTGCTGGTTCTACCCCTAGTAATTAATACAGTACCTGTTGGATCTACTCCCAGTAATAGATACAGTACCTGCTGGATCTACTCCCAGTAATAGACACAGTACCTGCTGGTTCTACCCCTAGTAATTGACACAGTACCTGCTGGATCTACTCCTAGTAATAGACACAGTACCTGCTGGTTCTACCCCAGAAATAGATACAGTACCTGCTGGTTCTACCACAGAAATGTACTGATTTATTCTACATATCTGCAGGCTGGAACCAACTTATACAATGACTACTAAATCTCTGACAGAAAGTTGCTAACCAAGTCAACTCATAACGCAGTATTTTTAGATCAAAAGACCTTGCTCCTTATGCAGTGATATTTATATCTACCGCAACTCTTACCCCATTCCAACCTGCACCAGCCATTTGGCCCTATATTTTTAGGCTCAAGGAGATTCATCATCATCATCAAATGCCTTGCTGAGTGGCATGTTCGACCATGCCTCTCCACAATCCGCAACTATATGCATCAGGTGGTGTGCTGAAACCCATTCATGCCATGACATAAGACTATCAAAAATCTCCTTGTGCTGTCTTCCTCTGTCTCTCTTTACAAAGAGCAATCCAGGAGTCTCAACAAGTTTCAGTTTCCTCTTCTGATAACACACCAAAACATCTGTGTTGCCACCAAAACATCTGTTGCCACCAAAACATCTGTGTTGCCACCAAAACATCTGTGTTAGCTGTCCTGTCCAAGGAATTCTAAGGACTCTTCTGTAAAACCAAATCTCTGAGGCTCCAAGATATTGTTCGGCTTGTTGTCCAGGATTCACAGCCGTAGACATACTTCCATAACTATGGAAAAAAAATGCAAGGACTGAAGACCTGACTATTTCTACACAAATTAAATCATGCAAAAACTGCGTACCTGAACACTTCCTTGAAACACATTCTGGACCAGCTTGCTCATGATGTTATCAGAGTTGATGAACACAGCTTTAGCCAACTTGTTTGTCTCCACACACAAGGCAACAATATCATCAAATATGCTGGCATGTCTGTAGGCACCCTAGATAAAATATCAACAAATAATTCCATCCATTGTTTGTCTCCACACACAAGACAATGCCACACACAAAAATACACACATCTTGATATGTTATACTAGTAACATTTAAGATGTCACATAAAATACACTCAAGGTATGTGACACAATAATACACTCAAGGTATGTGACACAATAATACACTCAAGGTATGTGACACAATAATACACTCAAGGTATGTGACACAATAATACACTCAAGGTATGTGGCACAATAATACACTCAAGGTATGTGGCACAATAATACACTCAAGGTATGTGGCACAATAATACACTCAAGGTATGTGACACAATAATACACTCAAGGTATGTGGCACAATAATACACTCAAGGTATGTGACACAATAATACACTCAAGGTATGTGGCACAATAATACACTCAAGGTATGTGACACAATAATACACTCAAGGTATGTGGCACAATAATACACTCAAGGTATGTGACACAATAATACACTCAAGGTATGTGAAACAATAATACACTCAAGGTATGTGACACAATAATACACTCAAGGTATGTGGCACAATAATACACTCATAACATTTCACACACAAGTTATAATATTACACAAAACTCCCCCTGAAACACTACAGAAGAGCTGACACAAGCCACACACAATCAAGATGACATGTTACATAAAAATACCAATGAAATTAACACAAGATTAGATCAGAATTTGTTGAAAAATAACAAATATTGTTTTGCTAAGTAATAATAGTGATGACCCAAAAAAAAAAAAAAAAGATTTAGCAAACACAACATGAAAAGTCAAGACTAAAAAACAGCTATGAAAAGACAAATTTATTGAAGGCACCAATAACAGATTGGGCAAAAGGACATTGGCATGGCAACAGGAGCTTCCAATAGCCTGAAGCAAATCTACAACTTCCATTTCAATAGCCTGAAGCAAATCTACAACTTCCATTTCAATAGCCATTTCAATAGCCTGAAGCAAATCTACAACTTCCATTTCAATAGCCTGAAGCAAATCTACAACTTTCATTTCAATAGCCTGAAGCAAATCTACAACTTCCATTTCAATAGCCATTTCAATAGCCTAAAGCAAATCTACAACTACTATTTCAATAGCCTGAAGCAAATCTACAACTTCCATTTCAATAGCCTGAAGCAAATCTACAACTTCCATTTCAATAGTTGTAAAAGCAAGTGACAGTTTCAGTTCTAATGTGATTTCAGTTGTAACTAATGCCTGTGACAGTTGTAACTAATGCCAGTGACAGTTGTAACTAATGCCAGTGACAGTTGTAACTAATGCCAGTGACAGTTGTAACTAATGACAGTGACAGCTGTAACTAATGACAGTGACAGTTGTAACTAAGGCACATGACAGTTGTAACTAATGCCCCTGACAGTTGTAACTAATGCCAGTGACAGTTGTAACTAATGCCAGTGACAGTTGTAACTAATGCCAGTGAAAGTTGTAACTAATGCCCGTGACAGTTGTAACTAATGCCAGTGACAGTTGTAACTAATGCCCGTGACAGTTGTAACTAATGCCCGTGACAGTTGTAACTAATGCCCGTGACAGTTGTAACTAATGCCCGTGACAGTTGTAACTAATGCCCGTGACAGTTGTAACTAATGCCCGTGACAGTTGTAACTAATGCCCGTGACAGTTGTAACTAATGCCCGTGACAGTTGTAACTAATGCCCGTGACAGTTGTAACTAATGCCCCTGACAGTTGTAACTAATGCCAGTGACAGTTGTAACTAATGCCAGTGACAGTTGTAACTAATGCCAGTGACAGTTGTAACTAATGCCAGTGACAGTTGTAACTAATGCCAGTGACAGTTGTAACTAATGCCCGTGATAGTTGTAACTAATGCCCGTGACAGTTGTAAGTGATGCCAGTAACAGTTGTAAGTAATGCCAGTGACAGTTGTAACTAATGCCTCTGACAGTTGTAACTAATGCCAGTGACAGTTGTAACTAATGCCAGTGACAGTTGTAACTAATGCCTCTGACAGTTGTAACTAATGCCAGTGACAGTTGTAACTAATGCCCGTGACAGTTGTAAGTAATGCCAGTGACAGTTGTAACTAATGCCAGTGACAGTTGTAACTAATGCCAGTGACAGTTGTAACTAATGCCTCTGACAGTTGTAACTAATGCCAGTGACAGTTGTAACTAATGCCAGTGACAGTTGTAACTAATGCCAGTGACAGTTGTAACTAATGCCTCTGACAGTTGTAACTAATGCCAGTGACAGTTGTAACTAATGCCAGTGACAGTTGTAACTAATGCCTCTGACAGCTGTAACTAATGCCAGTGACAGTTGTAACTAATGCCAGTGACAGTTGTAACTAATGCCTCTGACAGTTGTAACTAATGCCAGTGACAGTTGTAACTAATGCCAGTGACAGTTGTAACTAATGCCTCTGACAGTTGTAACTAATGCCTCTGACAGTTGTAACTAATGCCAGTGACAGTTGTAACTAATGCCAGTGACAGTTGTAACTAATGCCTCTGACAGTTGTAACTAATGCCAGTGACAGTTGTAACTAATGCCAGTGACAGTTGTAACTAATGCCTCTGACAGTTGTAACTAATGCCAGTGACAGTTGTAAGTAATGCCAGTGACAGTTGTAACTAATGCCTCTGACAGTTGTAAGTAATGCCAGTGACAGTTGTAACTAATGCCCGTGACAGTTGTAAGTAATGCCAGTGACAGTTGTAAGTAATGCCAGTGACAGTTGTAACTAATGCCAGTGACAGTTGTAACTAATGCCAGTGACAGTTGTAACTAATGCCAGTGAAAGTTGTAACTAATGCCTCTGACAGTTGTAACTAATGCCAGTGACAGTTGTAACTAATGCCTCTGACAGCTGTAACTAATGCCAGTGACAGTTGTAACTAATGCCAGTGACAGTTGTAACTAATGCCAGTGACAGTTGTAACTAATGCCAGTGAAAGTTGTAACTAATGCCTCTGACAGTTGTAACTAATGCCCGTGACAGTTGTAAGTAATGCCAGTGACAGTTGTAACTAATGCCAGTGACAGTTGTAACTAATGCCTCTGACAGTTGTAAGTAATGCCAGTGACAGTTGTAACTAATGCCTGTGACAGTTGTAAGTAATGCCAGTGACAGTTGTAAGTAATGCCAGTGACAGTTGTAACTAATGCCAGTGACAGTTGTAACTAATGCCTCTGACAGTTGTAACTAATGCCAGTGACAGTTGTAACTAATGCCAGTGACAGTTGTAACTAATGCCAGTGACAGTTGTAACTAATGCCAGTAGAAGTTGGAGAACCACTAAAGACAAAGGACTCAAGTGACAAACATTCAAGAAACAAATGGCTAAGGACACTGACAAACATTCAAGAACCAAATGGCTAAGGACACTGACAAACATTTAAGAACCAAATGGCTAAGGACACTGACAAACATTCAAAAACCAAATGGCTAAGGACACTGACAAACATTCAAAAACCAAATGGCTAAGGACACTGACAAACATTCAAAAACCAAATGGCTAAGGACACTGACAAACATTCAAAAACCAAATGGCTAAGGACACTGACAAACATTCAAGAAACAAATGGTTAAGGACACTGACAAACATTCAAGAACCAAATGGCTAAGGACACTGACAAACATTCAAAAACCAAATGGCTAAGGACACTGACAAACATTCAAAAATCAAATGGCTAAGGACACTGACAAACATTCAAGAAACAAATGGTTAAGGACACTGACAAACATTCAAGAACCAAATGGCTAAGGACACTGACAAACATTCAAGAACCAAATGGCTAAGGACACTGACAAACATTCAATGGGATGAACTGGAAGAAGCTGAAGACATCAGAGACATGCCCGGATAATCAACCCTATTAACAGTTATAAGACAAAGATGATAGCACCTCTACATAAGGCCCACTCTGAGGATAAGAAGAGGACAGAAAATCACCATACAGATAGCACCACTATATAAAGTACACTCTGAGGGTAAGAAGAGGACAGAAAATCACCATACAGATAGCACCACTATAAAAGGCACACTCTGAGGATAAGAAGAGGACAGAAAATCACTATACAGATAGCACCACTATATAAGGCCCACTCTGAGGGTATGAGGAGGACAGAAAATCACCATACAGATAGCACCATTATATAAGGCACACTCTGAGGGTAAGAAGAGGACAGAAAATCACCATACAGATAGCACCACTATATAAAGTACACTCTGAGGGTAAGAAGAGGACAGAAAATCACCATACAGATAACACCACTATATAAGGCACACTCTGAGGGTAAGAAGAGGACAGAAAATCACCATACAGATAGCACCACTATATAAAGTACACTCTGAGGGTAAGAAGAGGACAGAAAATCACCATACAGATAACACCACTATATAAGGCACACTCTGAGGGTAAGAAGAGGACAGAAAATCACCACACAGGCACTACAGTGGGAAACAAATGGACTGAAGCAATAAAAAAAATGTTCAACAAAAACCCTAACACAAACACAGGCAAGAGGCCAAAGGTGCTGGACTGGATTCAGTTCCTGATATTAAAGTATTCTACAATAAAGGAACAGACTGTGAGCCCGATGTGACACATAAATGACACAACAGGATTATGAGGATATTGATATTAAAATTACTAGTGGATTTCTGTGACATACTTAGTTTTACATTCTCAAATAATGGGCAAACAGTGAATACATACCTTCTGACATTCTCAAATAATGGGCAAACAGTGAATACATACCTTCTGACATTCTCAAAAAACAGGCAAACAGTGAATACATACCTTCTGACATTCTCAAATAACAGGCAAACAGTGAATACATACCTTCTGACATTCTCAAATATTGGGCAAACAGTGAATACATACCTTCTGACATTCTCAAATAACAGGCAGTGAATACATACCTTCTGACATTCTCAAATAATGGGCAAACAGTGAATACATACCTTCTGACATTCTCAAATAACAGGCAAAAAGTGAATACATACCTTCTGACATTCTCAAATAACAGGCAGTGAATACATACCTTCTGACATTCTCAAATAATGGGCAAACAGTGAATACATACCTTCTGACATTCTCAAATAACAGGCAAAAAGTGAATACATACCTTCTGACATTCTCAAATAACAGGCAGTGAATACATACCTTCTGACATTCAGCAATGAAGACATCAATGCACTTTCCATAACCCTGAGGACACAAGATGACAGAAATGTGTACGCTAATCAATGCACTGACCCCACAAGAAACATTTGGTTCTGACTGATTACTGACTTTCCTATACAACAGTGTAGACTTATTGGTCCAGAAACATTTTATTCTAACTGATTACTGACTTTCCTATACAACAGTGTAGACTTATTGGTCCAGAAACATTTTATTCTAACTGATTACTGACTTTCCTATACAACAGTGTAGACTTATTGGTCCAGAAACATTTTATTCTAACTGATTACTGACTTTCCTATACAACAGTGTAGACTTATTGGTCCAGAAACATTTTATTCTAACTGATTACTGACTTTCCTAAACAACAGTGTAGACTTATTGGTCCAGAAAGAAACATTTTATTCTAACTGATTACTGACTTTCCTATACAACAGTGTAGACTTATTGGTCCAGAAACATTTTATTCTAACTGATTACTGACTTTCCTATACAACAGTGTAGACTTATTGGTCCAGAAACATTTTATTCTAACTGATTACTGACTTTCCTATACAACAGTGTAGACTTATTGGTCCAGAAACATTTGATTCTAACTGATTACTGACTTTCCTATACAACAGTGTAGACTTATTGGTCCAGAAACATTTTATTCTAACTGATTACTGACTTTCCTATACAACAGTGTAGACTTATTGGTCCAGAAACATTTTATTCTAACTGATTACTGACTTTCCTATACAACAGTGTAGACTTATTGGTCCAGAAACATTTTATTCTAACTGATTACTGACTTTCCTATACAACAGTGTAGACTTATTGGTCCAGAAACATTTTATTCTAACTGATTACTGACTTTCCTAAACAACAGTGTAGACTTATTGGTCCAGAAACATTTTATTCTAACTGATTACTGACTTTCCTATACAACAGTGTAGACTTATTGGTCCAGAAACATTTTATTCTAACTGATTACTGACTTTCCTATACAACAGTGTAGACTTATTGGTCCAGAAACATTTTATTCTAACTGATTACTGACTTTCCTATACAACAGTGTAGACTTATTGGTCCAGAAACATTTTATTCTAACTGATTACTGACTTTCCTATACAACAGTGTAGACTTATTGGTCCAGAAACATTTGATTCTAACTGATTACTGACTTTCCTATACAACAGTGTAGACTTATTGGTCCAGAAACATTTTATTCTAACTGATTACTGACTTTCCTATACAACAGTGTAGACTTATTGGTCCAGAAACATTTTATTCTAACTGATTACTGACTTTCCTATATGACAGTGTAGACTTATTGGTCCAGAAACATTTTATTCTAACTGATTACTGACTTTCCTATACAACAGTGTAGACTTATTGGTCCAGAAACATTTTATTCTAACTGATTACTGACTTTCCTATACAACAGTGTAGACTTATTGGTCCAGAAACATTTTATTCTAACTGATTACTGACTTTCCTATACAACAGTGTAGACTTATTGGTCCAGAAACATTTTATTCTAACTGATTACTGACTTTCCTATACAACAGTGTAGACTTATTGGTCCAGAAACATTTTATTCTAACTGATTACTGACTTTCCTATATGACAGTGTAGACTTATTGGTCCAGAAACATTTTATTCTAACTGATTACTGACTTTCCTAAACAACAGTGTAGACTTATTGGTCCAGAAACATTTTATTCTAACTGATTACTGACTTTCCTATACAACAGTGTAGACTTATTGGTCCAGAAACATTTTATTCTAACTGATTACTGACTTTCCTATACAACAGTGTAGACTTATTGGTCCAGAAACATTTTATTCTAACTGATTACTGACTTTCCTAAACAACAGTGTAGACTTATTGGTCCAGAAATATTTTATTCTGATTATTGACTTTCCTATATGACAGTGTAGACTTATTGGTCCAGAAACATTTTATTCTAACTGATTACTGACTTTCCTAAACAACTGTGTAGACTTATTGGTCCAGAAACATTTTATTCTAACTGATTACTGACTTTCCTAAACAACAGTGTAGACCTATTGGTCCAGAAACATTTTATTCTGATTATTGACTTTCCTATACAACAGTGTAGACTTATTGGTCAAAAATATAATGAAATTAGTCATTCCTCCTCCTTATATCCTCAGATACCATGTGGGCTATCTAGGGAGATACAAAGTTCAGTTCTTGCTCCTCATATCCTCAGATACCATGTGGGCTATCTAGGGAGATACAAAGTTCAGTTCTTGTTCCTCATATCCTTAGATACAATGTTGACTATCTAGGGAGATACAAAGTTCAGTTCTTGCTCCTCATATCCTCAGATACAATGTCGGCTATCTAGGCAGATACAAAGTTCAGTTCTTGCTCTTCATATCCTCAGATACAATGTCGGCTATCTAGGCAGATACAAAGTTCAGTTCTTGCTCCTCATATCTTCAGATACCATGTGGGCTATCTAGGGAGATACAAAGTTCAGTTCTTGCTCCTCATATCCTCAGATACAATGTCGGCTATCTAGGGTGATACAAAGTTCAGTTCTTGCTCCTCATATCCTCAGATACAATGTCGGCTATCTAGGGTGATACAAAGTTCAGTTCTTGCTCCTCATATCCTCAGATACAATGTCAGCTATCTAGGCAGATACAAAGTTCAGTTCTTGCTCCTCATATCCTCAGATACAATGTGGGCTATCTAGCGAGATACAAAGTTCAGTTCTTGCTCCTCATATCCTCAGATACAATGTCGGCTATCTAGGGTGATACAAAGTTCAGTTCTTGTTCCTCATATCCTCAGATACAATGTCGGCTATCTAGGGTGATACAAAGTTCAGTTCTTGCTCCTCATATCCTCAGATACCATGTCGGCTATCTAGGGAGATACAAAGTTCAGTTCTTGTTCCTCATATCCTCAGATACCATGTCGGCTATCTAGGGTGATACAAAGTTCAGTTCTTGCTCCTCATATCCTCAGATACCATGTCGGCTATCTAGGAAGATACAAAGTTCAGTTCTTGCTCCTCATATCCCCAGATACCATGTCAGCTATCTAGGGAGATACAAAGTTCAGTTCTTGCTCCTTATATCCTCAGATACAATGTCGGCTATCTAGGAAGATACAAAGTTCAGTTCTTGCTCCTCATATCCTCAGATACAATGTCGGCTATCTAGGAAGATACAAAGTTCAGTTCTTGCTCCTCATATCCTCAGATACAATGTCGGCTATCTAGGCAGATACAAAGTTCAGTTCTTGCTCCTCATATTCTCAGATACAATGTCAGCTATTTAGGGAGATACAAAGTTCAGTTCTTGCTCCTCATATCCTCAGATACAATGTCGGCTATATAGGGAGATACAAAGTTCAGTTCTTGCTCCTCATATCCTCAGATACCATGTCAGCTATCTAGGGTGATACAAAGTTCAGTTCTTGTTCCTCTCGTCCCCTTGACCAGATACATCATACTGTTGTAGTTTCTCTGATTTGATCTTTCCATTTGATTGTTAGCACACTTTCAGTAGTTTACCCCTCACCTCTGTGGGTCTTGCAAGGTATGGCACAACCTGTGTGCTAACTATTCTGTTTGTTGTCTTTGTATGGAATAACATGTGTACAAACCATTTTGTTTGTTGTCTTTGTATGGCACAACCTGTGTGCAAACCATTATTTTTGCTGTCTTTGTATGGAATAACATGTGTACAAACCATTTTGTTTGTTGTCTTTGTGTGGAATAACATGTGTACAAACCATTTTGTTTGTTGTCTTTGTGTGGAATAACATGTGTACAAACCATTTTGTTTGTTGTCTTTGTGTGGAATAACATGTGTACAAACCATTTTGTTTGTTGTCTTTGTGTGGAATAACATGTGTACAAACCATTTTGTTTGTTTTCTTTGTGTGGAATAACATGTGTGCTAATCATTTTGTTTGTTGTCTTTGTGTGGAATAACATGTGTACAAACCATATTGTTTGTTGTCTTTGTGTGGAATAACATGTGTACAAACCATTTTGTTTGTTGTCTTTGTGCGGAATAACATGTGTGCAAACCATTTTGTTTGTTGTCTTTGTGCGGAATAACATGTGTGCAAACCATTTTGTTTGTTGTCTTTGTGTGAAATAACATGTGTGCAAACCATTTTGTTTGCTGTCTTTGTATGCAGTTTAGTTTTGGTTCTGTGCCAACCTCTTCTCTTATTACTTCATTTCTTTTTTTAATTTTTCTGTTTGCTCTGCAGCAATTCTTAGAAATCACATTTCCGTGGTTACTAATTTTCTGGTGAGTGACCAGGGCTGGCACTGGTAGGACAGGGTGGGGATAAATATGCTTTGTATGAGATGTGTCCCTGCGAGATTGAGATGCCTTATGCTGTAAGACAACAACTAGCAGTCCTAATACTGATGGTTCAGTGTCAAGAGGCAAAAGAAGTGTTTGGGGGTTCTTAGAAAAAACTAATGGCCAATGTTTGGTGCAGACGAGCCTAGCATTTGATACCTCAGCATCCAGCTTCAGAATGGAGGTGGAGGCAGTCACTGCACCTTTCCGCTGGTAAGAGAACAAGAAACACATAAACACACATTTCATGATTTTAACTGACAGAAAGAAAGCTAAGAAAAATGAAGAAAGGCATGCTTCATGCAGAGTGACATACTTCGCTTCGGAAGTCATGGTTGAGGAGTATTTTCTGGATCTTTTCTCTGGGTATCTCTGTGTGTTGGGAAATAAAAAGGAGGAGAGACTGGCCGGCTCTGCAAAAAATGGTGGAATAATAAAGTATGATGAGGCAGACGTGGTTAGTGCCTTGTAGCGTGTACAGTTCGGAGTAGCAGATGGATCATCACAGTCTGGTAAGAGTGATGCAGCGGGAAGTGATGAGGGGATCTGGCCAATACACGATGGTCAGAGGAAAGGCAAGACAGACGTATAATCAGAATACTACTGGAACCATTAGTTATGGAACTCTGCACTGGCTGTTGAAGATGGGGACAGAGCGCTTATGGGGAAGCCCAGAGTGCTCTGATGTCAGTTTTTGAATCAACTCAACTTTAGCAGGTACTAATTTCTTCATCCAATTTACCTTCTTCTGTGAAATTTGTCAGGAACAATATAAACAAGAGAACAATATAAACGACTGATCTATTGAAATATTCATAAGCTCTACCTTAAAATGTTGCAAGAGGTTGGTAATTTTACGCATCTGTCTTTTGTCTCCTGCTTGCTGTCCCAGCCGGAATTCCTCAATGAGTTCTTTCTCTACAGCATCGTATTTCTCTGTTGTCAATAACACACAAGCAAATGATATCAGTGTCTGACAGACACAAGCAAATGATATCAGTGTCTGACAGACACAAGCAAATGATATCAGTGTCTGGCAGACAAAACAAAATGTTACATTATCTGACGGACACAAGCAAATGATATCAGTGTCTGGCAGACAAAACAAAATGTTACATTATCTGACGGACACAAGCAAATGATATCAGTGTCTGGCAGACAAAACAAAATGTTACATTATCTGACGGACACAAGCAAATGATATCAGTGTCTGGCAGACAAAACAAAATGTTACATTATCTGACGGACACAAGCAAATGATATCAGTGTCTGGCAGACAAAACAAAATGTTACATAATCTGACAGACACAAGCAAATGATATCAGTGTCTGGCAGACAAAACAAAATGTTACATTATCTGACGGACACAAGCAAATGATATCAGTGTCTGGCAGACAAAACAAAATGTTACATTATCTGACGGACACAAGCAAATGATATCAGTGTCTGGCAGACACAGAGAAATGCTATACAGTCTAACAGACACAAGGAAATGTTTCAGTGTCTTACAGACACAAGGAAATGTTTCAGTGTCTTACAGACACAAGGAAATGTTTCAGTGTCTTACAGACACAAGGAAATGTTTCAGTGTCTTACAGACACAAGGAAATGTTTCAGTGTCTTACAGACACAAGGAAATGTTTCAGTGTCTTATAGACACAAGGAAATGTTACATTATCTGAAAGACACATGTTGTGTAAAAGTATCTGATGACAAGGAATTTGGGGACAGGTGAGAATGTGAACTTATTTCATTACAACAACAAAACTCATAAGAAAATTACTCACCGGCAATCCTCTGTCTGGCAATATCAAACCTAGAAGACAAATAAGTGGCATCTTTGATGACAGCTCAGAAAATGATCTACATATGCACAACACTCAAAAACTGCACATATCTAGAAGTATGCATCACTCAATAATTTACTTATACACTACTGAAAACAGTCTGACATTAACCCTGCCAGACGTGAAGGCCTGGTTTCACAAAGAGGTACTTCTTGCAAAGTCAGCACCAGACGTTACTCTTCCTTCACCTTCTTGCTGTTTCTTACTATCCATCTAGCTCCAGATCTATAAGGTTCAACATTTTCCTCATCGCTCGAGCTCTCACTGACTGTGTCACTTCATCTAGGACGCATTCTTGATGAACTTCTGACTCCTCAGAGTCTAAATCAACCAAAGTATCGACGACCTGTTGAATGTGAAAAGCCTACACCTACTTTGCTTTCCTGTTGAAGTGCTTGGTTCCTTAACCGCACGTTTAATTGTGAATTTTCATAGTCAGACTACTTGTAGTTGCTGCAAAAGCTCCAGAATCATTCTTCACAACTCTCCCTCCCAACTGAGCCGTGAAAGCCCACGAGCTTCTAACGTGGCAGATTACAGACCCATCAGTGTAAATGACAGCATCACCCTCTAGAGCATTCTCAAAAATCAAGGCATGAACTTCTACTTCCACAGCAGCCGGACTCTGCTGTCTGCATTTTCTGTCTAGTTGGATGCAAACAGAAAAGGATGTACAGCACTCTGAAAGCACTTGCACCCACTCATCGACGGGTTTTATGTCCTCAAGTAAACATACCTGTAGAATAATGTCCTCGACTTGACCCATCCACCATTTGCCTCTTTTTAACCTGCTGCCTTTTATCTTCTTGATTTGACTATGTAATGGATGTTGTGTGTCCGCCTTGACTGTGAGGCAGGCACGCGCTCGGGAAATTAGTATTCTGTCTTCCATGGTCGGAAAATCGAGAAGGTAGCGCATAGCCCCGTATGCTGTATCGCTTGTACACCCAGTATAATGCACATAGCCTCGTTCTGTATCCTTTCCATCTGCTTATGGCTGAGAGTCAGGATCTCCATTGCGCATTCAAAAACAGAAAGGACCAGAACCTGGCATAGAAGACATAGATGACGCTGCTCACAGTTTGCCACCGCCATCACTCTTGTCGCAGCTAGATACTGCTTAGCTTTCATTATAATCTGATCTATGTGCTCATTATAAGCAAGGCTTTGATCAAACTGTATCCCCAGGTATTTCATTTCACTCGTTCTTTCCACAACCTCAGAACACAGACTAGCAACTGGTGTTGCAGTTCTCACAATAGGGTTATTCAAAGAGAACCATGTCACTGCCGCCTTCGTTGGGTTGACCAGTGCACCAGCTTCACCACACCAAGTGCTTATGTGATTGAGCTCTTTTTGTAGTTCTTCAGCGACCTTTTCTCTACCCTTGCCCTGACCATACACTATCACATCCTCAGCATATGACAGTGTTTTTCCAGTGATTTTCTGGCCTGTGATTCTCTCTGCGTAAATGTTGAACAACACAGGAGATAATGGCAATCCTTGTGGCAGGCCGGGATGTATTGTTGCTGGTTCAGAAGTCTAAACACCTAAACACTACTTTTGGTTGGAAAAGATCCAGTAAAGCAGGAATGGACCTATTTGGAGTTCAAAAAGCTGAAACATTAAGAAATAAAAATGTACTCTGTTGCACGCATCCTCGAGATCAATTGCTGCAGCACACATTTTAATACGAGAGTGGAAACCTTCATACACATCATGAGCAAAAACCGCAGAATTGGTCCATGTTTCTTTTTTTGGACGGTACCCTTCAAGAGTATTTGGAAGAAGTCCTCGCCTCTCAAGCTGGTGTGAAATGTTTCTGGCGATGATCTTTTCTAACACCTTGCCTACAGTATTTTGCATAGTGATTATCCGATATCCCTGAATTTTTGTGTGATCTTTGCCAGGTTTTGGCAGGGGTATCAGACAGCTGTGTAACCACTCTTCACTGATACTAGCACTCACAATACTATTGTTGTACATATCTGCTAGCTCTTTCAGCTCATCTTCAGTACACCCACTAGTGTCATCACATCTTATACCATCTGGACCTGGTGCACTGTTATTTGTTTGTCGTAGCACAGCCTTGATCTCATCCACTGTCACTATATCACCAGCTGCAAACGTCTGTGGCTTACACCACTTTAGCTAAACTGTCATATTGGTCTGGCTGCTCTGTTGTAGAAAATGTTCTAAAAGGACCTTGCTCTTATTCTCCTTGAACCTCCTCCAGGTAAGGTCAGAGTGCAGTTTATGTAACCACCAGAAAACTTTCAGCAATTTATCTCTGCTCATTCACTATTATGCTTATTAACACTGCTAAGATAAGCAGTGTTTCAATGAAAACAATAACTAGTGTAGCAATACGTCCAAGAGCACAATAACTAGATCAGTATGTTGCTGTGAGCACAATGACTCGATTAACAGTGTTGCCATGAACATAATGACTACATCAGTATGTTGTTACGAGCACAATGACTAGATCAGCATGTTGCCATAAGCACAAGGAATAGATAAGCATTGTTGCCACAAGTACAATGATCAGATTAAAAGTGTTGCCACAAGCACAATGATCAGATTAAAAGTGTTGCCATAAGCACAATGATTAGATCAACATGTTGCCATGAGCACAATGACCAGATTAACAGTGCTGCCTTTAGCACAATGACCAGATTAACAATGATATACAGCTTACCTTCCCCCAACAGGTAGCTCCAGGGCTATGAGATGTAGCTTCTGTATGACATCAGCTGTCAGATGTAGCTGTTGACATACACAATTAACACTGTTGGATGTAGCTGTTGACATACACAACTAACCTTGTTTAATGTAGCTGTTGACATACACAATTAACACTGTTAGATGTAGCTGTTGACATACACAACTAACACTGTTAGATGTAGCTGTTGACATACACAATTAACCTTGTTTAATGTAGCTGATGACAAACACAGTTAACACTGTTAGATGTAGCTGTTGACATACACAATTAACACTGTTAGATGTAGCTGTTGACATACACAATTAACACTGTTAGATGTAGCTGTTGACACTCACACAATTAACACTGGTTTAGATGTTGCTGAGAAATTACTAACACTGTTACTGATGTAGCTGTTTGACAATTACTAACACTGTTAGATGTAGCTGTTTGTTGACATTTACAATTAACATTTGTTAGATGTAGCTGTTGACAAAATTACTAACACTGTTTGATTAGCTGTTTGTGTTAGATGTAGCTGACAAATACAATTAACACTGTTAGATGTAGCTGTTGACAATTACAATTAACACTGTTACTGATTAGCTGTTGAGAAATTACTAACATTTGATTACTGCTTTAGTGTGTTAGAAATTACTAACATTAACACTGTTAGATGTAGCTGTTGACATATACAATTAACACTGTTAGATGTAGCTGTTGACATATACAATTAACACTGTTAGATGTAGCTGTTGACAAATTACTAACATTGATTACTGCTTACAATTGTACTGTTGATGTGACATATACAATTAACATTTGTTACTGATGTAGGTGTGTTGAGAAATTACTAACATTTGATTACTGCTTTAGATGTAGCTGTTGACATTTACAATTAACACTGTTAGACCTGGTACCCACTCAAGGCTGGGTCAACCTGGTTGTGTTTGAGAAATTACTAACATTTGATTACTGCATTAGGTGTTTGAGAAATTACTAACATTTGATTACTGCTTTAGGTGTTTGAGAAATTACTAACATTTTATTACTGCTTCTGGTGTCTGAGAAATTACTAACATTTGATTACTGCTTTAGGTGTTTGAGAAATTACTAACATTTGATTACTGCTTCTGGTGTCTGAGAAATTACTAACATTTGATTACTGCTTCTGGTGTCTGAGAAATTACTAACATTTGATTACTGCTTTAAATGTTTGAGAAATTACTAACATTTGATTACTGCATTAGGTGTTTGAGAAATTACTAACATTTGATTACTGCATTAGGTGTTTGCGAAATTACTAACATTTGATTACTGCTTCATGTGTTTGAGGAATTGCTAACATTTGATTTCAGCTTCTGGTGTCTGAGAAATCAAAGACACATAGTAAATTATTACTTTAGGTGTTTGAGAAATCAGTAAAACCTGATTAATTATTACTTTAGGTGTTTCAGAAATAAAATTTGATTTATACGTCAGTTATTAATAAATGATTGCTGTATCAGTTTATGAATAACACCTGATTACTATATAAGTTAATGGAAAACACCTGATTACTGCATTGGTTAATGAATAAAATTAACCTAATTACTGCACTGATAAATGAATAACACATGATTTCTGCACTGGTTAATGAATAACACCCTTTTACTGTATTCTTTAATCAATAACACATGATTTCCGCACTGGTTAATGAATAATGCCTGATTCCTGCCTTGGTTAATGGATAACACCCTATTACTGTATTTATTAAAGGATAACACCCTATTACTGAATTCGTTAATGGATAACACCCTATTACTGTATTTATTAAAGGAAAACACCCTATTACTGTATTTATGAAAGGATAACACCCTATTACTGTATTCGTTAATGGATAACACCCTATTACTGTATTCGTTAATGGATGACACGCTATTACTGTATTCGTTAATGAATTACACATGATTTCCGCACTGGTTAATGAATAATGCCTGATTCCTGCCTTGGTTAATGGATAACACTATGGCCAGTATCCTCCAGCCTCCATCTGCAGTTTGGTGTGTTGTCAAACAGCACTAGCTAGGACACCTGGAGACTGCACATTTTACACAAGCATCGTTCAGCAAGCTGAGATCCTATTGTCTGGATCTATGTGATGTGTGTGTACACAGCAAACATGAGCACCCTAGGCTGGTGGTTACTGTCCCAAATGTTCATTAAAATCTTGACCCCCCAAAAAAAAATATTACTGTATTTATTAATGGATAACACTATATCACTGTATTCGTTAATGGATAACACCCTATTCCTGTATTTATTAATGAATTACACATGATTCCTGCATGAGTTAATGAATAATCAGGTACAGCATCAGATAATGAATATATGATTCCTGCATGAGTTAATGAATAATCAGTTACAGCATCAGATAATGAATATATGATTCCTGCATGAGTTTATGAATAATCAGGTACAGCATCAGATAATGAATATATGATTCCTGCATGAGTTAATGAATAATTAGGTACAGCATCAGATAATGAATATATGATTCCTGCATGAGTTAATGAATAATCAGTTACAGCATCAGATAATGAATATATGATTCCTGCATGAGTTAATGAATAATCAGTTACAGCATCAGATAATGAATATATGATTCCTGCATGAGTTAATGAATAATTAGGTACAGCATCAGATAATGAATATATGATTCCTGCATGAGTTAATGAATAATCAGTTACAGCATCAGATATTGAATAAATGATTCCTGCATGAGTTAATGAATAATCAGTTACAGCATCAGATAATGAATATATGATTCCTGCATGAGTTAATGAATAATCAGTTACAGCATCAGATAATGAATATATGATTACTGCATCAAGTAAAAGGCTTAGTGTGGACAGCAGAAAAATAGCAGTCATTACCCAAAGAAAACCATGTCGTCCAGAATGCAATATGAAGGTCAATGTAACAAGTCTGAAGAAAGTCAGTCTGTTTAAGTGAGGTGAGAAAGGCTGACCTTCAACGTTAAAGTGACTAGACTAACATGTTTTATGAGACAGTAGATTCCAATTGTTGATCTCTGACCTGAAATGGATCCACCAGGACAGGTGACTTTAAAGGTTCTTCTGTGAGGAATTCTCCCAAATAGTTCATCAGCCTTTGAGCTTCAACAGCTCTTGCCCGGGGTGTGTTGACTCCCTCTAGCTGGTCTCCCAGGTGAACAACTTTAGTAGCCACATAAGAGATCCGCTCATCCAAAGTCTGGAAATCTGTGTAGAGAGACTGAAGTCAAAAACAGAACATGTTATCTGTGTAACCATACATCATCTACAAGCTCATCACCAACACACACTTTGAATAAATGTCTGTATACAGTTTATTTCTGGCAGTTACAGTTACAGTTGAGCCATTACATTTGTTGTGAAAGTTACAGTTACAGTTGAGCCATTACATTTATTGTGAAAGTTACAGTTACAGTTGAGCCATTACATTTATTGTGAAAGTTACAGTTACAGTTGAGCCATTACATTTATTGTGAAAGTTACAGTTACAGTTGAGCCATTACATTTATTGTGAAAGTTACAGTTACAGTTGAGCCATTACATTTATTGTGAAAGTTACAGTTACAGTTGAGCCATTACATTTATTGTGAAAGTTACAGTTACAGTTGAGCTGTTACATTTATTGTGGAAGTTACAGTTAAAGTTGAGCCATGTAGACTTTGGCCTGCCTTGACTCTTTTCATCATGGCCTCCAGTGGGAGAACATTTATACTTTGATTAGGTTTTCTCAAAGTGTGTCCTATCCAATGCCAGCATCGTTTCCTCACCAGCTGATTCAGTGTCATTTGTTTAGTTATCTCCCATAACTCTCTATTAGAAATCAATATATTTCAAAGAATAACAGAGTTCAAACCTCTGACATGATCTGTTGAATGAATGACAATAATGCCTCGAACCTGATTTTTTTTCTCCAATTCAGACACTCGGTTCCAATGGCGCTTTTCTTCATCTGTACACTGTAACTCCAAACTGGTCACTTTGCTTTGTATCTGTGAAAGATTCATTACAATGACAACTGGCACAAAATACAATTTCAGAGTGAATGAACAAACAAACTATATTTTCAAAGGGTCACAAATTTGGCATGCAGGCCTCTCTCACATTGGGCACTTCCAAACACTTATCTTTCACACAGCACTTGAAGTTTATCTATAAAGCATGTTTGTTCATATGACAATATACATAATATGACAATCAAGACACATTTAACAGCATGAATGGTAGATGTATGCTCACATGCCCGCACACTCACTCACTCGTTCAAGCATTCATACATTCACTCACTCAAGCATTCATACATTCACTCACTCATTCAAGTATTCATACACTCACTCACTCACTCAAGCATTCATACATTCACTCACTCATTCAAGTGTTCATACACTCACTCACTCGTTCAAGCATTCATACATTCACTCACTCATTCAAGTGTTCATACACTCACTCACTCGTTCAAGCATTCATACACTCACTCACTCATTCAAGCATTCATATACTCACTCACTCATTCAAGCATTCATACACTCACTCACTCATTCAAGCATTCATACACTCACTTCCCCATTTAAGCATTCATACACTTACTCACTCATTCAAGCATTCATACACTTACACACTCATTCAAGCATTCATACACTCACTCACTCATTCAAGCATTCATACACTCACTCACTCACTGAAGCATTCATATACTCACTCACTCATTCAAGCATTCATACACTCCCACTCATTCAAACATCCATACACTCCCACTCATTCAAGTATTCATACACTCACTCACTCATTCAAGCATCCATACACTCACTCACTCAAGCATTCATACACTCACTCACTCAAGCATTCATACACTCCCACTCATTCAAGCATTCATACACTCCCTCACTCATTCAAGCATCCATATACTCACTCACTCATTCAAGCATTCATACACTCACTCACTTATTCAAGCACGCAAATAAACAGTCATTGTTTAAATACACTGAAAACTGCTTACACACTGCAATTGGAGGAAACAACAACAACATTCTGAACTAGCCAGCAGGAACATTGCCACAAAACTACAGACCTTGTTGTTCTTTTCTTTCAAGTCTTGAATCATCTTCTCAAATGATGTATACAGTATGACTGGATCAAACTCTTCTGGACTGCTGCGAGCATTAGCACCCATAGTCTTCCATGCCAGTCGCTCCACAAACTCATGAACACTGAACGGTTCCTGATAGCAACAGAATTTTTGTTTCAGAAGTCATTTGATCTGACATTTTCCCCTGTGGGTTCCAGGGCCCCACTATGGGGAAAACAAGAACAGACCCACCACCTGCCCAAAAGCATGGCGTAAGAGCTGACTAATTGGAAGCTACCTTTGAAGTTGGCAGTACATATACCTGAGAGGCAAGGAACCAACAGTCTGCATGCAAATGAGTCAGATATGTGAAATGGATGTGCAGGCAACACTCAGTTTCTAGAACAGGACTAGAGTCCAGAATTGGATGAACAAACAGTACTTTACCCCAGAGTTTACAGCCGGTGAACATGAAGAAGAAGAACTGTTTGACATTCCACTCAAAAATACATGACAAAACATAGAAGTCTATTCTTTTACAAGCCATTCCTACTTTCCAGATGAGAATATTGAGAGATCATTGATTCTCACTTGGATGACTAGAGGAAACACTGACAAGTCTTGTGGGCATTAGCTGCTTGCTTCTAGTCCAGGCCATGCTGCAGACATGTTCTTCCATTTAATCAAGGAAAGTCATTCCTAAATGTTACAAACAAATATGGGATACTGCAACAAGATCTGGCCAAACGCCACACATAGAGGATGGTTAAGACTATTTTCTATATTCATCATAAAAGCCAATTGAGCTGACCTCAGAATACACCAGATCTAGCCAATTCTCTAAGAGCTTATTGAGCTGACCTCAGAATACACCAGATCTAGCCAATTCTCTCAAAGCCTATTGAGCTGACCTCAGAATACACCAGATCTAGCCAATTCTCTAAGAGTTTATTGAGCTGACCTCAGAATACACCAGATCTAGCCAATTCTCTCAAAGCCCAAGGAAAAGCAATTAATAACTGGGCTGATTGTGCCAACTGTATCATTTGTGTTGACTACACAAACTTAGTCAGCATCTGTGGCTTAGGTGTTGTGAATGCCGGGGTGCCGAGTCCAAGAACTGCTGCGGACGATTTGTCTTGGCTTGGTTTCTACAGTGCGACCGAGATCTGACTGTTAAGAAAGCAGTGCAAACTACTGAACGGTAAAATTTGCCTAGAAAAACCATAACACCTAAACAAAAAAACAAACAAACAAAACTGGGGTTGGTTCTGCAACGTCCTGTAAAGGATACACAACTAACTCAACCAAACTCAAGATCACTTCCACTAACTGCGGGAAAACACTGCCAGATGTTCATGACATCTGGGTTATATTTTGAAACGAGTTACATTACCTGGTTTGAATTACAACAGAGAGAGTCAGTTTTGAAATATTTGAAACAAAATATCTTCATTACTTTTTATATTCTGTTAATCTTCATGTGCCCGTGTGCTACCAGGGCCCTGACAGGAAGCAAAGAATTGTAACACTGCACCCTACAAGGCGTTTTTCAGGAAGTGACTAAGGGTAGGGTTAGGCCTGGGTATCGGCCACATCATCCTGAAAAACAATAGCCACAAAAACCAACCAACCATGGACAAGTCAAAAAAAAGAAACAAGAACAACCCAGCCAACCAACTTGAGGGAAGGCTCTTCTAACAGAAGAAAGATGCCAACAGGAGTTTGTATTCTCGAGTTACCTCCTTTCACCTATGCAAATTTCCAGAATTGGCATTTGGAATGTTAGAACTTTTTACGATGTCCGAATAATAATGGAAGTATTATGGCAACCACCAAAAAAAAAAACACATGGAGAAGGGAGCTAGAGGTCAAGGTTAAAATGATAGGGAGGACATATGCTGAGATGCATGTAACAGCGAAAGATATATTTATTTGGTCTGAGTTTGTTGAGGGCCTATTCTCCATTGGAGGATAGAAGGCAGAAGAAGAAATGTTTCATTTGAATGAGTCTTGTCATAAATCCAGGAATATTTGGTTGCTGTGATGAATGTACACAAACAAGTTACATTAAGTTAACACCTTCACTGCCAAATAATGCATGACACAGAGCTATATAAATGTGCTTCTTCTTCTTCAGCATTCTGAGCCCTTGAGGTTCATTGATGCAGATATCTGCCTCCACTCATCTCTCTGGATGGCCGTCTATTTCCAGTTGGTGACACCAAGTGTTTGCAGGTCTGTCTGGACATTATCTCTCCATAGTCTTCTTGGTCTGCCTCGTGGTCTACGACCATTCAGCTCCCTTGTGAATAGAGTTTTTACCTCTCTGTCATTTCACATTCTCTCAATACCCCCAAGCCATTTCAGTCTATTAGATCTCATGATGCCAGTGATCAATGGTGATTTACCAGTGATCAATGATGATTTAAATAGGTTTGAATTTCGTTGTTGCTTCTCACTCTCCATTTCCCGCTGTTTACATCTCTGATGGGTCCAAAGATTTGGCGTAATACTCTATTTTTGAAAATGTGTAATTAGGCTTCATCTCTTTTAGTTGTGCTCCAAGTTTCAGAGCCATATAAAACAACTGGTCTTATCAATGTTTTATACATTTTAATCTTGGTGTTATGAGATATAGACTGACTTAAGCAGATATTGAAGGGCATAGTATACTTTATTCCCAGATTGTATTCTAGATTGTATTTCGGTTTTTTCGTAATATCCTACCCCAAAAAAAACAAAAACATTATGTACTTCTAAATTCCCAATTCTGCTCTGATATTTGACGTGAAATAAATATCTGAACTATTGTTAATCTGTTCTGTTGGCAACCTGCTGGGTCATCTCCCAATGTCTTCAACATATAATTTTAACTTGTTTAGCAGTACCATCCAATAGTATCTTGTAGCTACTAATGATATTCCTCTATAATGTTCACATTTATGCTTGTCTCCTTTCTTTAAAATGGGTATTAACAATGACACTTTCCACTCACAGGCTAATTTCTCCATCTACCAAACTAGTTTTATTATTTATATATCTTTAAATGTAATACATGACCACCTTCTTTTATCAGTTCAGCAGCAATTCCATCAGCACCAGTTGATTGATTGTTTTTAAGCCACATTATGACATACAGTACTTCTTCAAAATCAGGCTCTTCAATATTTGCTTCACATGTTAGTATCTCTTCCTGTGGATAAGTATTTAGTGGAGTTTTACAATTTAACAGTTCAATAAAGTACTCCTTCCATCTCTTACATATTTCTACAATATTATTTATCACATTGGCATTGCAATCTTTTAAACTATGTATGCGGTGTTGATGCCCTCGTTTTATAGCCTTCAGTTCTTTAAAAAAAAACTGGATTCATTATTCTGATGGTTAGCTTCCATATCCATGACAATGGTGTTGCATATAAATATGTATCAATCTGAATTCAGAGTTTAACATGAAAAATAAAGAAGATAAATTCATGTGTTCAAATTGTCACTGAATAATGTATCATCAGAAATCTGCTGTGTTCTTATATTTCCAGTTTTATGTGTTTCCATTAACTGACAACATTTGTTAGAAAACAATATGGCTATCAATTAGTCTTCCTTATGCTTATCAATGTGATCCAGAGCTTTGGAAAAAGAATTTGAAAAGATCAGCTTACTGTCAGATGTATATGGAGTTTGATATAGAAAGCAATGAAGTAGGTGTTTCTCAGCTATTTGACGCCAAGGATGAAAGACTTGTCTATGTGCAAACATGACAGCATCCACTGGAATCGGGAAGTGATTCACGAAAGGACATTTTCTTTGGCATCATTTAGTTCTAGTTCAATTCTCTTTTAATATAAAATCTGGTAATCTGGTAATCCTAGTTTCAGCATCATAGCAAACGGGTCACCCCATTGTTGCTCCGCTCCTGTGCCAACGAAAAACACTCGTAGCTCACAGTGTCACACCATGCACTCAACTCAGAAGCTGGGTGACGAAACTATATCCTTCCAGTCTACAAATGGAGCAAAAATGCAACGGCCACCGCCTGACAGAACTGCCACGGCTTAAAAAAAAAAAAAAAAAAAAAAAAAAAGTGGTCGTGCCTGGTGTCCACTGTGACTTGAAGCATTATGTGAGGGGTTAACAAATGGTCACCCCAGCAGTACCCTCACTATTAGCTGGGAAAGGGACTTAGGACATTACATCCACCAGCAGGCGTCGCCCCTACAACGACCTGACTGCCTTCGTTAACGACTGTTCACCCAACAGCCATGCAGTTCTTTGGCACAAAGGAGACACCTTGAACTTGGGTTTCGGAATGCCGACTTCCTTCAAAATGTTATTTTGTGTTTTGTTATCACAATCGACGTCACTGCACATTGGGCATACCCATGCGTGCGCAGTCCTCCGAAGCAGCAGCCACTCCAAAGTACTTCTACTAATTGTCCCCATGAGAAGCTGGTTATACTGTCTCCTTTCTCGGCCTCGCAGACGGCAAAGACGTGCTTCACCATGCTTAACTCCCATGTCACGCAATCGTGTTAGTGTCAGGGATTCGATATTATCCACTAGCCCAGTACGTACAGCGTTAACGATATCTGCTCTGTCCATGCTTTTTCCCGCAATCATTAGTGCTGTGCTTGCCAGTTGGTCCGCTCGCTCATTCCCCTTTACGCCCGCATGACCCGGTGTGTAGATCCAGGTTACGGAAGTTAAGTGCGATTTCCGAATGCTTTCTATCCATTCAGAGCGCATACTGCCTGTTGCTATTTTCTGAAGCATATTCATTGAGTCTGAGACAATTACTGCTTGTGTGGCGGTTTGCTCGGATACCCATGCTAAAGCTCTAGAAGCAGCGGCTATTTCCATGGTCATGCTTGACGTGGTTGTCTGGTAAGCGCCGCTGTCCTCATGTATTGTTTTCCCCCTTCTTTGCGCTGTGTATGCCCATGCTGACCTTGATCCGCGCTTCACGGACCCATCTGTGTAGATGATGATATCTTCTGGGTCTGAATGCTGATCTATCAGTTCCCTTACTTCTGTGTCTATGGCCGCAGGAATCTGATCCCGACAGTACCTTCCTAGTGTGATGACAACCTTAGAGATGCCATGCATGTCTACTGGTGTATTCATCCATTCTTTTCCGTGCCTGATAACGCGTAGGTCACATACCTGCTGGATCCAATTCTCAGCCTTTGCCATCCAAGAGCGGCCTCTTTTGAGACGCGTTCCTTTTGTGTTTTTAATATAAAAGAAAATAACTGCAAAATTCAGACAAACTGATTGTATGATTTTGTGTCAACAGACAAAATAGTTCTGGAATTATGTTTGAGTTTTTGTCATGTAATGTAATGATACTGTGTAATGATACTGTGTGATTATGCTCTTAAAATTTTCTGAAACCAAAGCTTAGTTTGCAAATTGTTTTCAAATTGTACTATTTGTGTAGTTTCCCCTGAGCACCATAAAAGTAACTTGAAACACGGTATTTCCCTTCTCTAAGCAAGTCATGTGTTTCATGTGTAACGTTTCTAAATGGCCCTTCCCATTTGCTAAACTGATATTAACTGATAATGAAAGAGTGAACACCCGATCCAGCGATGAGCTTTGTTTCCCCAGCAAAAAACAGAAGTACTTCTTAGCAAGCCACTTACTTGTTCCACCTCCTCGACGGACATTATCTGCAGAAATATACCAGTGGTGTCTGTTAAACTGACAGAAAACTGGAAATTCTCCGTTTAGTTCCTTGCAGAATAAATTTGAATGATAAATCACCACAACGATGTCAGCGGAAATAATAATCTAATTATAATATGCCATTATTAATAAAATAATTATATTATTATTATTAATTATAAACTAACTAAAAGTAAAAAGTAAATCAATTGTAAATTCTGAGCCAGAAGAATACAGTTGCGATATGACTTTCTGTTTAAATGTAGGTAAATTGTAAACTCTGAGCTTAATTCCCTGTAGTAAAATAAACACAGCTGCGATATCTGTTTAACAAAAGATAAAGTGTAGATGCTATGAAGAATTCCCTAACCGATGAGAGGCGTTTGTTTGCAGCCAGCAGACGACGGGAAGTGGCCAGGTATCATTTGTGAACAATGTTCAAACAGTCAGCCAAATTTTTTTTTTGTATTTTTGTTCGGGGGTTTAAGAATCCATATCCAGTCACTTCGGTCAAATCTGTAGTTGCTCCACGTCTCATCAGAAATAGATGCAAGCAATTGTAATATCACACCGGCTGTTAGCTTAATTCCTCCTTGATAAGCCCACAAGCTCTACATTCTTAAATATTAGTAGAAATTATATCACAGATATGCGTCAGCTTCCACTTCAAGACTATGTATATGGACAGGTAAATATATAGAAAGTATAAGGGAAGAAAGAGCGAGGCTAGAAGACAGTTTAACTTAAAGAGCTGGCTGTCTGTTTAAGATAAGTAAGGCTGTCTGTTTCGGATGGGGATGGCTCTTTGTTTAAGATAGGGAAGGGTATCTGCTGTCAGTTTCAGATGGGGAAGACTGTTTACGATGTGATTGGCTGTCTGTTTAAGTGGTAATGGCTGTCTGTTTAAGATGGAGATGGTTGTCTGTTTAAGATGGGAATGGCTGTCTGTTTTAGATTGGGAAGACTGTCTAAGATAGGAATGGCTGTCTGTGTAAGATGGGAATGGCTATCCGTTTAAGACAGGGAAGACTGTCGGTTTCAGATGGGAAAGACTGTTTACGATGGGAATATCTGTCTGCTTAAGATGGGGAAGGCTGTCTGTTTAAGAATGGATTGGCTGTCAGTTTAAGATGGGGAAGACCGTCTCTTTCAGATAGAGATGGCTGTCTGTTTCAGATGGGGAAGGCTGTCTGTTTCAGATGGGGAAGGCTGTCTGTTTCAGATGGGGAAGGCTGTCTGTTTCAGATGGAGAAGGCTGTCTGTTTCAGATGGGGAAGGCTATCTGTTTAAGATGGGAATGGATAGCTTAAAGAAATGTTCCTATTGCTGTCATCTTGGTTTTTGACTCAATCTAAAGCAATGAAAACATTTTAACAAAGCGTACTGTAGAAAATGCAGGCTCAGAGTAGTGGTGCTGTCTGTTAGAGATTCCCTCGTAGACTAGTTACCAGCCAAGGCTATGGGATCTGGTCTACTCTTCCATAAATATTACAATAATTAGGTTTGCTGGTTTCTCTTTCTACTTCAGTGTCGTCACGACACATCCCTTTTTTTTTTTTTTTTTTAGTTGTATCTTTGAGTCCCAAGGAACGCATCATACGCACATAGATTCCTACCTAGAGGCCCAATGAACGCATGATGCGCCGATTTTACGTCTCTCTAAACCCTCCTTAGGCCTGTGATGCTAAACTCCCTGGGACTCAAAGAGCTAGTTGCCCCGTTGGTACTCCAAAAAACCCTCAAATTATCCTGTTCTATAACAATCGGGGAATTAGGGAGAGATAAACATAAACTTATAGCTTTATTTTATACCTTAAAAGATTACTTAGTTTTCGATACTTTTAATGCCTAAAAGGTACTGATATAAATTTTAATTGTAGCAACTGTTTCAATGCAGTTACAGAGCATATTTTTTAGTTTTTTTTCTTTTTCTTGGCGACAGTTGTAATACCATTGTCTAGTGAGTAATTAGCCCTTTCACCCCTGCGACCTAGAAAAACAAGTCACATGACTAATACGATTTATGGTGCGATTGTCCTCTTCATTTTAAATTTTGCGGTTTCTTTGGCAGAGCAATAAATATAGATTTTAATAGGTCATTAGGAATGTACCCACTATTATAAATGTTGTACAAATTGTAAATAAAACCATAAAATGTGTTCAGTGTTCACACGTATAATCATTGTACATAATATATTCTATGCATTCGTTCAGGGAACCTTTTCACCCTACCATAATATTTTCTCTTTATTTAATATTGTGTGTTTGTGTATGATCGTAATCGTCGTAATACGCATAGGTCACAAGTCATCATTCATCAGATCCTTTGCAGAACGTCGCTCTCATCACAGTCTGTCTGAAAGAAACTCGGTCGGTCTCTCTCCAGCTCTTCAACTTCGTGCACTTTCCTATCCAATAATCACTTATATCATATGCCCATCTTCGAACTGGTCGGCCTCTTTCTCTCTTTCCTGATACTAAACCTTCTCATATTATTCTTTCCAATCAGCCGTAGTGCTTGACATGGCTACAATATTTCCGTTTACGAGCAAAATGCTGTTTACTATCCACATTTTCTTGATGTTCAGCTCTTTTAGGATGTCACTATTTCTTCGCTTCTTTTTCCTTGATATTCTATGAATTTTTCAATATTTTTTAGCTTTTCGGATACAAAATAAAATCATATTTTCTTTCTTAGTTACTGCCAGATAGTCCGCCCCATTCACATTCTTATATTGCTATAGGGAAGATGCATGTTCTCAAAATGTTAACGTTGATTTCCTTGTGTTGCGTAACCAGTGTTTTATTGATGTTTAATTAAGTGAAATTATTTTTCTCTAAGGTGTAGATTATATTGACTAGAACAACAGCTTCGGACAGAGTAGTTTACTGGGAAATAAACTAGCTCCAACAAGCGGACCTGTCCTCTTCCAGCAGCTTCTCCAGCATGCTTTGTTCCAGGTGTTACCTTTCTTCTAGTGTAAACAAAGCAAGTCAAAGATGCATCATGCTGCATGGGCAAATATGGTATACAGTAATGCCCAAGTCTTCCATACTTCTGGATAACACAGTGTGATACTATGTTTGGGCAAAGATGCAGAGGTTCCAAGAACAAACTTGACCCAATGACCAAAGACAGTGTTGGGAAATTAACAGCGGAAAAAGATCTTTTCTGTGGCTGCTGAAGATAATGAGGGAGCACTTATGAGAATTTACTGAGTCTTGCAATGTTAGTTCTTAGCTCAACAATCAACACAGACCCATGACAGAGCAAACATTCTTCTTCTGACCTTTATCCCCCAATGGAGCATAGGCCATCAACAATCAACACAGACCCATGCCACATTCTGCTGGTTCCTTTATCCCCCAATGGAGCATAGGCCATCAACAATCAACACAGACCCATGCCAGAGCACACATTCTGCTGGTTCCTTTATCCAATGTCACATGTCTACTGTGCCTTGTCCAACATCAGAGAGTGTCATTTATCCACTGTGCCTTGTCCAACATCAGAGAGTGTCATATGTCCACTGTGCCTTGTCCAACATCAGAGAGTGTCATATGTCCACTGTGCCTTGTCCAACATCAGAGAGTGTCATATGTCCACTGTGCCTTGTCCAACATCAGACAGTGTCATTTATCCACTGTGCCTTGTCAAACATCAGAGAGTGTCATATGTCCACTGTGCCTTGTCCAACATCAGACAGTGTCATTTATCCACTGTGCCTTGTCAAACATCAGAGAGTGTCATATGTCCACTGTGCCTTGTCAAACATCAGAGTGTCATTTATCCACTGTGCCTTGTCCAACATCAGAGTGTTTCCACCATCACAGTGACATCTGGAGTGTCATTCATCCACTGTGCCTTGTCCAACATCAGAGAGTGTCATATGTCCACTGTGCCTTGTCCAACATCAGAGAGTGTCATATGTCCACTGTGCCTTGTCAAACATCAGAGTGTCATTTATCCACTGTGCCTTGTCCAACATCAGAGAGTGTCATATGTCCACTGTGCCTTGTCCAACATCAGAGAGCGTCATATGTCCACTGTGCCTTGTCCAACATCAGACAGTGTCATTTATCCACTGTGCCTTGTCCAACATCAGAGAGTGTCATTTATCCACTGTGCCTTGTCCAACATCAGACAGTGTCATTTATCCACTGTGCCTTGTCAAACATCAGAGAGTGTCATATATCCACTGTGCCTTGTCCAACATCAGAGAGTGTCATATGTCTACTGTGTCTTGTCCAACATCAGAGAGTGTCATTTATCCACTGTGACTTGTCCAACATCAGAGTGTCACATGTCCACTGTGCTTTGTCCAACATCAGAGAGTGTCATTTATCCACTGTGCCTTGTCCAACATCAGAGTGTTTCCACCATTACAGTGACATCTGGAGACTATATTACCAGTTGCTGATGACTATTTTATGTTGGACTTTTTTATGTATGTTGATCCCCCCCCAATAATCTTGTTAGCTGCGCCATGTTAATTATGCTAGGGCATTTGTCTTGATATCATTTTAAACAAATGTTGTTTTTACAAGGGCGTAGGAAATCTTGTCATAGATTCAAGATGAGCATCACCTAGAAAATGTTGAAAACCGCTGTTCAAGAGGTACAAACTGACAGACACACTCAGGTGCAAATAGATATACATTTTATTGCAACATTTGCAAATCAGAAATGGTATTGCACAAGTACAGTGAATGTTAAAATGATATTAAAATCTACAAGTTAATATTCAACACCCTTTCTTTCATTTATCTGGTCCATCAGTCTATGCTGTATACTGCTCTACCTCTGTCTCAGTCCTGACCTAGTGATTTGAGTCACAGGCAATGAAACAGCTCACAGAAGCCAGCTTCAAGCTTCAGAGATGAGGCATCTAAGAAAGGTGGTCCAAGTGACAAGAAGGGACAAAGTCCGCAATCAGACAATACATCTTAAAAGCCAGGCCTTACAAACAGGAGGATCAGCCAGTTACTTTGGTGTGGAGATGTATGCAGAATGGGAGAGAACCGGCAACCATGACAGACATGAAAGGCCAAGAGCTAGGGAACCAGACACCTAGGATGACCCAAGGAAGACAATATCCCAGAGTCCTTGACTGACTGACTGGAATGGACATTCTAATTATACTATTATCTGGTTTTCTCAATGAGCATTGAATTCAATGCCAGCATTTTTTCTTCAACACCCCAGTTTCTCTTATCCCTAGGGAGGTTCAGGATCTCTATGCTTCACACTGTGACCAATCCAAGACACCCCTATTTTGCATGTTTTGTTTTTCTTCAGCTATTTCTGGTTTATGCATTTAGTCCACTGTGGGCCATAAACTGGGTATCAGCTGGGATCTCCTAGGTTTCCTCAAGCCTAACTGGCAGGTCTCCTGGGTGTTGCCTAACTGGCAGGTCTCCTGGGTGTTGCTTAACTGGCAGGTCTCCTGGGTGTTAGTGGTCAGTCGAGGTTTCAACATCACTGCAGACCGGACATTCCACAAATGCTCCGTTCCGGTGCCGGTAAAAGTGACACAAAATGTTCTTCACTGTTACACTGAAAACTACAGCACCGCACTGCACAATTACATGCCAAGCATTAAACTCAGTTGCTGGGTGGCAGAATCTTTCAACTCCCAGTCCAGATATGAGGAATTTGCATCAGAGAAACCTAGTTGGAAAGAAATAATATTTCACAGCATCAGATGGCTAACTGCTATTTTGGCCAGAAGTCTCCTGTGTGTGTCCACATGATGTTACAATGATGTGTGATATTCAATACATGTCTACATGATGTTACAATGATGTGTGATGTTCAATACATGTCTTACTTTATCCAATCATTTTACACCACAATCTACTAGCAAAATCAGATAAGAAATTGTAATCACCCACTGTTATAAAAATGTATGCTGCTGTAAAAATAAAAGGCTGAGATAACACCAAGGTAAATAAACTGAGATAGCAGATACTAACACACTCACAATGGTAACTGTCAAATGTTATGTACAGTAAACACTACTATTAGGCACAAAAACCTGAACAATTAATAAATTATCCTCATCAAGTGCCTTGCCAACTCGCATGTGCGATCATGCCTCTCTACAACCTGCGGTCTTCAACAGTGTGTATCAGTTTATGAGCCGACGTCCCTCCATGCCACAACAAAATGCTGTCAAAAATCTTCTCCGGCTGTCTTCCTCGCGCTCTCTACAAAATTATGTAGTGGCCACTGGTTCCAGTTTCCCCTCTTCTCATAACATGAGCCAAAAATGATGACCGTCTCCTTCGGATGTTTATGAGAAGTTGTCTTCGAGCCCTCACCTCTTTCAAAATATCTGGGCCCTTAGCCCCATAAGGCTGCAGTTAACCCTTTCAACCTTGAAGAAAAAAAAAGGCAATGAACCTGGGATTTAAAAAAACAAAATCCCTTCCACCCCCCACAAAGAATTTTACACAGGTCCCCAATAAATTTTTAATAAACATGAACAGAGGGCATTAAATCAAATTTATTCCCCGGATCTTCCACCCCCAAAAAAATTTTTTTTTAAATGGTGACCCTATGACCTTTATCACTTAGGCTTACAGAAGATATCTGACACCAACTTGGCTTTAAAAAACCACTAGAATCAAAAGGAAACCCCTAAATACTACTTTTAGTTACTATAATTAAATCCTGGCCATTTCAAACAATGCATAGGTGCACATAAAACAAAGGGAATTTAACCCTTTCTGAGAACATTTTCAAGAACTGGACACTGCAGACAGGCAGATATTTCAGCATTTAAGGGACTGTGTCACAGAAGAAATAACTAAATTTAGTCGTCGCTGGGTGACAGGGTTGACTCTTTCAATACTTAACAACTGAGAACAATACCTTTTGGTGTTCCAAAGACCATACAAGGTTTTTTGCCATCTTCTATCACAGATACATGTTACACAGGGTGTTTTTAAAGTCTTACTGCACTTTTTATGTAGAATAAATCTGCAAAATGAAGTCATGATGTCGTCAAAACATGTGCTCCACAGTCAACAGTAAAGCATTATGCAGTGAATGACTGTTGTCTGCTGAAGTAATTCTTTGCACTTAAAACAAGATAATATTATCAATGGAAGAATGAGTCTTCTGAGTGGAACTGGCGGTCGATGCAAACATGGTTGCAGAAGATATCTGGCAGTATGAAGAGAAGTGTCTTGAAGCCTGTGGTGGACATTTCCAACACCTGTTTGTTCATTCATTCATTGTCCTGTTGCGCTATTATGTCACATAGGGCTGGCAGTCTATGTCTCTATTCTGTTCCATCCTGTGTAATCAAGTCCAGCATCCTTGGCCTTTCTCATCAACATTCATTTTAGAGTTTCTTTTAGGCATCCTTGCCTCCCTAATCCTTTTATTTCCCATTGTAATGCTTGTTTGGTGATCTCTGTTGGTTTCTTCCCAGGATGAGCCCAGTGTAGCACCATCTTCTCTGTCCTACAACTGGTGATATTAATAGTTGACCAGACATTTTTCCCCACACCTATTATAATAAATTTTGTATTGGTTCTCTCATCTTCCTCAAAATAGCGTTAGACTTTAGCAGTAACTATTGTAGCTAACTTAATGATATTTTAGTACAATTTTTGATGACACCATGTACTTGGAGTTTTCAAATTTGTTCTGCAAACAAAGTGAAGTCAGACTTTACAAACACCCTGTATTCACCCTTGGGTCTAAATCAACTAATTCTGTCCAATAATATCTCTGTAGGAAGTTTCAAAATGGCATGACTTTTGTGAAAAACTATTCATAACCAGCTCAGAATCATTGAGTAGTGACCTGAGAGTCGAATGCAGCCATCATGAAATTTCCTACTCCACTCGTATACTTGCTGAACTGGCAGGCATGCATCACCATACTGGACCTTCATTTGTCGATGAAATTCTACAGGTTTCACCCCTTCACTGATTTTATATATAAACCAAAAACAATCTGACCAAACTATGACAGTTTTGTGTTTTTTAAACCTACCATAGCAGCTTGAGAGATTCTCAGTAATCTGACCAAACTATGACAGTTTTATGTTTTATAAACCTACCATAGCAGCTTGAGAAGTTCTCGGTAATCTGACCAATCTATGACAGTTTTATGTTTTATAAACCTTCCATAGCAGCTTGAGAAGTTCTCAGTAATCTGACCAAACTATGACAGTTTTGTGTTTTATAAACCTACCATAGCAGCTTGAGAAGTTCTCAGTAATCTGACCAAACTATGACAGTTTTATAAACCTACCATAGCAGCTTGAGTTCTCAGTAATCTGACCAAACTATGACAGTTTTGCCCTTTTCACAGCTGACAATTGAGGTACCCAATGGACTCCAGGAACAGGCTAATACTGCATGGCTGAAATAAAATGTGCAGAAAATAATGACTATATTATCATATTATAAGCCTCCCTGTGTGGGTTCCCCTGACTCATTTTGGGGGGAAAAAGAAACAACAGACCCACTGCTACATAAAACTTGTCAGAAAAACGGGAACTAGTTAAGGTGATGCTGAGACTGAATGTAGGGGCCGAAAATGAATGTAAGGGCTGAAACTGAATGTAGGGGCTGAAACTGAATGTAGGGGCTGAAACTGAATGTAGGGCTGAAACTGAATGTAGGGGCTGAAACTGAATGTAAGGGCCGAAACTGAATGTAGGGGCCAAAACTGAATGTAAGGGCTGAAACTGAATGTAGGGGGCCGAAACTGAATGTAGGGGCCGAAACTGAATGTAGGGGTCGAAACTGAATGTAAGGGGCCAAAACTGAATGTAGGGGGCCGAAACTGAATGTAGGGGCCCAAAGGCAGCCTAGGTGTAAACCACATCATAAAGTACCAGCCAGGTTTTAAGGAGAAACAAAGAAGGATAATCATCACCATCATCATCATGTGATTTGCTATTCTGCATGGGTGTTCAGATCTCCACAGATGTAGTAAACTTTTTGTCCAGATTTTTGAAGAAAAAAGAAAAACAACAGACATGGTCATTTGTCCTCTTAAAACAGGCTGTTAATTTTGAGTTTAGTTTTTAGTTTAGAGTTTAGTTTCAATTGTCAAGGATTCATTTTATCAGCTTCATTTGATTCAACTGCTACTGTCTGTAGTATACAGCTGACCAGATAAAGCAAAGCTTCATTTTATTCAACTGCTACTGTCTGTAGTATAATGCTGACCAGATAAAGCAAAGCTTCATTTGATTCAACTGCTACTGTCTGTAGTATACAGCTGACCAGATAAAGCAAAGCTTTATTTGATTCAACTGCTACTGTCTGTAGTATAATGCTGACCAGATAAAGCAAAGCTTTATTTGATTCAACTGCTACTGTCTGTAGTATACAGCTGACCAGATAAAGCAAAGCTTTATTTGATTCAACTGCTACTGTCTGTAGTATAATGCTGACCAGATAAAGCAAAGCTTTATTTGATTCAACTGCTACTGTCTGTAGTATACAGCTGACCAATTGCACTGGCTGTAAACTCCACCAATTGAGCTGTAAATCCACCTATTATCCACTGGCTGTAAACTCCACTGGCTTTGTGCTGGCTTTGTTCTTCTGGCTTTTGTGTCCACTGGCTGTAAAACTCCACTGGCTGTAAACTCCACCAGTGTCTCGATGGCTGTTCATCCCTCTTGTCAACTTTAGTGTTTTGTTCACGAACTGAGTTTCACAGTGGCTGTAAACTCACCATGTGCTGTAAACTCCACCAGTGTCTTCACTGGCTGTCTCCACCAGTGTCTTTTTAAACTCCACCAGTGTATCCACTGGCTGTCAGTGTTATGTAAACTCCACCAGTGTGTCCACTGGCTGTAAACTCTTTCACTCTGTAAAGGCAGATGCACTCTGACTTTGAATGTAAACTCCACCAAACAGTGTCTTCAACTGTAAACTCCAATCACTGGCTGTCTCCACTCTTCACTGGCTGTAAACTCCACCAGTGTATCCACTGGCTGTAAACTCCACCAGTGTGTCCACTGGCTGTAAACTCCACCAGTGTGTCCACTGGCTGTAAACTCCACCAGTGTCTTCACTGGCTGTAAACTCCACCAGTGTCTTCACTGGCTGTAAACTCCACCAGTGTCTTCACTGGCTGTAAACTTCACCAGTGTATCCACTGGCTGTAAACTCCACCAGTGTGTCCACTGGCTGTAAACTCCACCAGAAAGTTCTCGATGGTTCATTCTCTTGTCGATTTTAGTCTTGTTCACGAACCTGAGTTTTGTGTACAGATCCGTTTTACAATTCTGTTTTATGAATGTTGGTTCTTTGCCTCTCAGGCAGATGCACTCCGACTTTGAATGAAACAAACACAATTAGTCTACTCTTATGACATGCTTGTAAGGTTCAAGCAGGTCTATCCACCTCCACAAATATACAGAGACATTAGATAGGCAGACTGACAGACAGACAGACAGATAGACAGGCAGACAGACAGATAGATAATTGGAAGGATTGATGGATGGAGATAGAAAGAGAGAGAACAGACAAACTATATTTTTCAAAGTAGAGAGAGAGAGAGAGAGAGAGAGAGAGAGCTAAAGGGTGAAAGAAAGAGATACTGAAAAAATAGCAATTGGGAGAGAAAGAGAGATATTAAAAGAAAAAGTCACATATGAAAATGAAACAAAGTAACATACAAAAATTAAAATCACATTCTAAATAAATAAAATGACATACAAAAAGAAAAAAAAAATAATGTTTAGAAAAATATCACGTAATGAAAGAAACAAAATCACATACTAAAAGAACAAAATCACATTCTAAAAGCAAAAAACACACACTTACTTGTGTTCTTTAAGTAACCGCTCTACTTTATTATTTTTAAGGTTCCATATATACAAGCCACCATCGCTAGAGCCTGCTGCTGCAAACTTTGCGTCTGGGCTGTGGGAAATAAACAGAGAACATTTCATGGATCAAACAATTAGGAGAACACACCTAAATGTAAACATAACTAGATCCAATTAAATCACCTTTCTCTTCTTCTTGTTCATGTTCATCGGCTGAAAACCCCAGCAGACATTTCTGGCTATTCACAAACTTCTGGACTCACATCTGGTTCCTGAGCTTAATTTTTGCATGCAAATCCGTTTTAGAGATCTGGCCTATATGTATGCAGACTGAAGGTTTTTTGCCGCTCAGGCAGATGAATTAGGATTTTAAAGGAAACAGCCCTAATTTGATGAGACGCTTGTCAGAGGGGCAATGGGTCTATTTTGTTGCCCTCAAAAATTGGGCCCTTGGTACTGGATACAGGGAACAAAATGTAATGAAACACAAGGAAACAGAATGTAATGAAACACAAGGAAACAGAATGTAATGAAACACAAGGAAACATAATGTAATGAAACACAAGGAAACAGAATGAAATAAAATAAAAATGAATAAAATAAAGTATGGTTTCATCATTATCGTGTAACAGGTTTTTTGTAGCATGCTGCTTTCACTGCGGTCTGCATGAAAGAATCTCAGTCTCTCACCAGTTCTCCCACCTCGTGTACTTTCCTACCCAAGGAGTATCTTTGATATCCTGTGCCCGTCTTCATGCTGGCTGGCCCTACCTCTATCCCCTTAACCATGCTATTATTTTATCCCAATCTGCTATGACGCTTGATGTGTCTGAGACTGAGATAAGATGCTGTTTACCAGCCAATCTTCCTTGACTTTCAGATCTTTTAGGATGTCAGTATTTCGTCTCTTTTTTGTATAGGGTATTTTGAGAATATTTCTATAGCATTTCAGATCAAAAGCCACTATTTTCTTTCTTAAGGACTGCGGTATAGTATGATTTAGACAGTAATATTAAAAAAAAAAATTATCTATAATTGACAATGGAAAGGAGAAACTAGAAAACTAGCAAATGAACAGAATAAGAGAAATACAGATAAAATAAAACGATGAGACAAAGTAAGCTAAAAGTAAAAAAGAATGTGGCTAAAACTATCTTCGACAAGATCTAATAAAGATAAACAATATATTAACAATAAGAATTAACAAAGTGGACAATGAACGAGCAACTAGACAATCAAAACTGATCTCTGGAGATGTGGTTAAACAGAAGAATAGATCGTACTTCATGGAAACAGAAACTATCAAACACAGTTCTGAAAAACTTGGAATGAAAAAAGTTGTCGAAAAAGTTGAAAGACAAAAACGATACAAAAAAAAGATGATTAATGAACAGCAATCTGAGATATTTTGGCAGACATTAATGACATAATACAATCTCATTATGCAAAATTCTTCCACTGAGGAAGGCAAAAGTAAATGGCGAGGCAGGAAGAGGCAGACAATGATACAAATGAGAGGATAACATAAGAGATGAATGAACAGCAATCTGAGAGAGTGTAAAACTAAGACAGGAGACAGAGCAGACGGTGTTGGAAAACCACTGCAGCCAATCTTCATTACGCAAACAAAATCTGATTGACTGATTGAACTGAATGAAATGAAATAAACTAAATCAAAATAAATGAAAATTTATGCTGATTTATAGAGAAAAAAAAACATACAACCACGTACAACATCAATGAAATATTTCACTTATGAATAAATATTACGAAATAGGAAAAATATAGAAGCAATATTTTATATGTTGAAGAATGTGGTCAATACATTAATTACCAAAGAGAGGCACTGTTTATGAATTCAGCTCCATAACAAACCATTTCCTGCCTTCAAACTAAGTGAGACTGTTAACAAAGTAGAAACTAGTTAAAGTCTTAGTTAACTGCACAAACAACATCAGGAGACAGTTAACACAGCAGAAACTAGTTACAAAGTCTTAGCTAACTGCACAAACAACAAAAGTGAGACTGTTAACACATTAGAAACTAGTTAAAGTCTTAGCTAACTGCACAAACAACATAAGGAGGCTGTTAACACAGTAGAAACTAGTTAAAGTCTTAGCTAACTGCACAAACAACAAAAGTGAGACTGTTAACACAGTAGAAACTAGTTAAAGTCTTAGCTAACTGCACAAACAACATAAGTGAGACTGTTAACACATTAGAAACTAGTTAAAGTCTTAGCTAACTGCACAAACAACATAAGTGAGACTGTTAACACAGCAGAAACTAGTTAAAGTCTTAGCTAACTGCACAAACAACAAAAGTGAGACTGTTAACACATTAGAAACTAGTTAAAGTCTTAGCTAACTGCACAAACAACAAAAGTGAGACTGTTACCACAGTAGAAACTAGTTAAAGTCTTAGCTAACTGCACAAACAACATAAGTGAGACTGTTAACACAGTAGAAACTAGTTAAAGTCTTAGCTAACTGCACAAACAACATAAGTGAGACTGTTAACACAGTAGAAACTAGTTAAAGTCTTAGCTAACTGCACAAACAACATAAGTGAGACTGTTAACACAGTAGAAACTAGTTAAAGTCTTAGCTAACTGCACAAACAACATAAGTGAACTGTTAACACAGTAGAAACTAGTTAAAGTCTTAGCTAACTGCACAAACAACAAAATTGAGACTGTTAACACATTAGAAACTAGTTAAAGTCTTAGCTAACTGCACAAACAACATAAGTGAGACTGTTAACACAGTAGAAACTAGTTAAAGTCTTAGCTAACTGCACAAACAACATCAGGCCACAGTGAATGAATTTTATCAATATCAATTTACGAGCAAGAGGTATTCTAACAATCTTCTTCTTCTTCTTCACTTCCTTAATTACCACAGTGGGTGGTTTTATCAATATCAATTTTCGATCACAGACGCATCCATAATGTTGCAGGCTTAATTCTCTCATGTTAGGGAGATATCAGGTTCGATCACAGACGCACCATAATGTTGCAGACTTTCTCTCATGTTATCTTTCTATCTTGCCCTGATCACAGACGCACCATAATGTTGCAGACTTTCTCTCATGTTATCTTTCTATCTTGCCCTGATCACAGACGCACCTTAATGTTGCAGACTTTTTCTCATGTTATCTTTCTATCTTGCCCTGATCACAGACGCACCATAATGTTGCAGACTTTTTCTCATGTTATCTTTCTATCTTGCCCTGATCACAGACGCATCATAATGTTGCAGACTTTCTCTCATGTTATCTTTCCACATTGTTCTTTGTCAACCTTGTGCTCTACTTCCTTATCCTTGTCTGATGTATGCCTTGTAACATATGACAAGGCATGTTCTCCAAGTGGGCAAACCATTTGGTTCGCTGTCTTTGTATGAAATTTTAAACTGGTTCTGTGCCGGCTTTTCTCTTTATGATTTTATCTCTTCTGGTCACTCCAGCAGCCCTTCCCAGACATCTCATTTCCATGGTTAGAATTTGTTTCTCCTGCTTTGTTGTGAGTGACCACATCTGGCACTGACAGCATAGAGTAGTGACCACATCTGGCACTGACAGCATAGAGTGGGACTGGATATGCTTTGTTGTGAGTGACCACATCTCTGACAGCACTGGGACAACATGTTTTATAGAGTGACTTTGTCTGGCACTGACAGGAGTGGGACTAACTATGTTTTATGACAGCATAGAGTGGGACTAACTATGTTTTATTGTGAGTGACCACGTCTGGCACTGACAGCATAGAGTGGGACTAACTATGTTTTATTGTGAGTGACCACGTCTGGCACTGACAGCATAGAGTGGGACTAGACATGCTTTGTTGTGAGTGACTTTGTCTGGCACTGACAGCATAGAGTGGGACTAGCTATGCTTTGTTGTGAGTGACCACGTCTGGCACTGACAGCATAGAGTGGGTCTGGATATGCTTTGTATAAGATGCTTCTCTGTGCTAATTGGGATTGTCCTGCGCTGTAAGAGGGGTGCTAACTGTCCCAATACTTGGTTGGCTTTACAGCATCTAAATATTAAATCAATGTTAACAACAATGGGAATAATCAGACAGAAAGAAAATTACCTGAATACAGCCCGAGCCGAGTCCCATCCGACTTTGAATCCTTCTGCTCTGAAAGTTGAAAAAAAAAAAAAAGATGCTACAGGCTGCCCTTAAAAAATCTGGCTATCAGTAAATCAGTTCCTTTAGATTTCTAGCATGGATCTGGCAGTGCATTTATACAAAATTAAAATTTCTAGGAACTATTTTATTTAGTTGATAAACATTAAAATGTAATTTGCTTTTTATTGAGTGTGTAGTTTTCTTTCTTTAGAGGACTGTACAGGTAGTCATTATCTGTTAAATATATACAGCATATCATCAGCATGTGCCATGTCAGTACGTGTGCGCTGTCATGCTTCGCCACCTCAAGCGATCACAAGAATCATATCAGTTTGAGTCTTAGCTGAGGTTTCAACTTCACTGCAATCGGGTAGCTCCATACTTGCTCCATTCCTGTCCAGTGAAAATCAAATGAAATGTCTCAAACTGGTGAACTAACAATTAGTCCCAGAAAAAACCAGAAATATGCACATGCAGTAAATGCATATGGCAGTTGCTAGAGGCGACAAAGCCAACAGTCGTCACCAGAAATGCAGTTTGTTGTTGATGGAAGTAGTTGGGCACAATAAGTTGGCTATACACATGTAGAATTATTACATAAGGTATTTTACCAGCCCACATGTAAACCAGCTACCGGCCATACTCAATATTAGACTGAACCGTTCAACAAATGAAGGGCAATCCACATTTTAAAAAAATAACAGCTCACAGTGCTGCATCAAGCACTACGTAGCTCAGGCAGCGAAACCACAGACTATCATTCATATGTGGAAACTGCATTAGCAAAGTGCTGTCAGAAGCAAAAATAACTTCGAAGCTCAACATTCTGTCATGCCTAGTCCTCAATTTTAGACCAGAATCACAGACTCTGTAAGTGTTTTTGTCTCACTCCATTGAAATGGTGAAGTCATCCAGATATTTGTTTGTTGTTTGCCTACCTCTTGCTCTCATTCCATCAATTTTGCCAGTCGTTAAAAAGTTCTTGGGTCAATTCCTTCTCATAACATGTTTGAAAAACAGTCTCCATCAAATTTTTCTAATTAGTTTACAACTTTCTCTGTCTCAAGGAAGACTGCCGGGTTTGATTTCCTATCCTTCAATAATATTCTGTCCATTCTCCTCATCTCTGATGCCAGTAAATATGTTTAGCTAGTCTGCTTTTTTGAGAGCATGTATCTTCCCTGTGGCTACATAGCTCTCAGTCCTTACGAAAGAAAATAGGGGCTTTTGAGCTGAAATGCTATAGAAAGATTCTCAGAATATCTTGGACAAAGAAGATGAGAAATATTGACATCTTAAAAGATCTGAACATCAAGGAAGATTGGCTAATAAACAGCATCCTTTCTCAAAAGCTGAAATATTTTGGTCATATCAAGTGCCACGACGGATTGGAAAAAATTATAGCAGAAGGCATGGTACCAGGAAGGAGGGGCGGGGGCCGATCGACACGGTAATGAGAGCGACGTTCTGCAAAGGACCTGCTACATGATGATGATGAGTCTGCTTACTGTCAATGTCTTACATGCATATCACAACACAGCAGATTAACAAGTCAATAACAAATGCATTGAATGTGTGAGTCTGCTAGACTCTGCTGAGATAGCAGTTTGGGTCGATGTCGTGACCAGGGACAGAGATGGACATTCTGTATGGTTTGTGTTGTCACCAGGGACAGAGATGGACATTCTGTATGGTTTGTGTTGTCACCAGGGACAGAGATGGACATTCTGTATGGTTTGTGTTGTCACCAGGGACAGAGATGGACATTCTGTATGGTTTGTGTTGTCACCAGGGACAGAGATGGACATTCTGTATGGTTTGTGTTGTCACCAGGGACAGAGATGGACATTCAGTATGGTTTGTGTTGTCACCAGGGACAGAGATGGACATTCTGTATGGTTTGTGTTGTCAGCAGGGACAGAGATGGACATTCTCTGTGGTTTGTGTTGTCACCAGGGACAGAGATGGACATTCTGTATGGTTTGTGTTGTCATCAGGGACAGAGATGGACATTCTGTATGGCTTGTGATGTCACAAGGGACAGAGGTGGACATTCTGTGTGGTTTGTGTTGTCACCAGGGACAGAGATGGACATTCTGTATGGTTTGTGTTGTCACAAGGGACAGAGATGGACATTCTGTATGGTTTGTGTTGTCACAAGGGACAGAGATGGACATTCTGTATGGTTTGTGTTGTCACCAGGGACAGAGATGGACATTATGTATGGTTTGTGTTGTCACCAGGGACAGAGATGGACATTCTGTATGGTTTGTGTTGTCACACAAGGGACAGAGATGGACATTCTGTGTGGTTTGTGTTGTCACAAGGGACAGAGATGGACATTATGTGTGGTTTGTGTTGTCACAAGGGACAGAGATGGACATTCTGTGTGGTTTGTGTTGTCACAAGGGACAGAGATTGACATTCTGTATGGTTTGTGTTGTCACAAGGGACAGAGATGGACATTCTGTATGGTTTGTGTTGTCACAAGGGACAGAGATGGACATTCTGTGTGGTTTGTGTTGTCACAAGGGACAGAGATGGACATTCTGTATGGTTTGTGTTGTCACAAGGGACAGAGATGGACATTCTGTATGGTTTGTGTTGTCACAAGGGACAGAGATGGACATTCTGTGTGGTCTTGTGTTGTCACAAGGGACAGAGATGGACATTCTGTATGGTTTGTGTTGTCACAAGGGACAGAGATGGACATTCTGTGTGGTTTGTGTTGTCACAAGGGACAGAGATGGACATTCTGTATGGTTTGTGTTGTCACAAGGGACAGAGATGGACATTCTGTATGGTTTGTGTTGTCACAAGGGACAGAGATGGACATTCTGTGTGGTTTGTGTTGTCACAAGGGACAGAGATGGACATTCTGTATGGTTTGTCACAAGGGACAGAGATGGACATTCTGTATGGTTTGTGTTGTCACAAGGGACAGAGATGGACATTCTGTGTGGTTTGTGTTGTCACAAGGGACAGAGATGGACATTCTGTATGGTTTGTGTTGTCACAAGGGACAGAGATGGACATTCTGTGTGGTTTGTGTTGTCACAAGGGACAGAGATGGACATTCTGTATGGTTTGTGTTGTCATCAGGGACAGAGATGGACATTCTGTATGGTTTGTGTTGTCACAAGGGACAGAGATGGACATTCTGTGTGGTTTGTGTTGTCATCAGGGACAGAGATGGACATTCTGTATGGTTTGTGTTGTCATCAGGGACAGAGATGGACATTCTGTATGGTTTGTGTTGACAAAGAAACTGAGCAACCATGGGGTGACCCGTTTGCCATGATTCTGGACCTGCGATTACCTGATTACACTTTTTCTTTTCTTTAACAAAGAAGAGATACACACTACATTGCCCAATTTATTGTCTGGCACATTTCACAATATCTTGTCAGGTGCATACTACAATTAACAATTAACAATTAAATACATGAAGCACATAAGTGAATTCTTTATAACTGAAGTACAAATGCAAGCACATTCAAAAGTAACAACATGTTTTACCAAGGATAACACAATGTTACAATTATAGCAGCTTCAAGAAATCTTAGCGCTCTGCCACTGGACAATGTTTTGAATTCTGAAAACACTGTCAACAAGGACAGTGCACTTAGAATTATTTATACGTCATTCAGCGGCAGAGCGCTAAGATTTCTTGAAGCTGCCATGATTAGTTGCCTCCGTCCTGAACTTTGTAAACAGAGAGACATGACTGCGACACCGATTTGCCCTGGTAAAACAGGTTGATGTTTTCGAGTGGTTGTACCTGTACTTCAGTTATAAAGAATTCACTTTTTGCTTCATTTTTTTCAATTGTTACTGCTGAATGCACCTGAAGAGATACTGTAAAATGTGCCAGACAATAAATTAGGCAATGTAGTGTTTGTCGCCTTCTTTGTTCAAATTTCCAACAGTTAAAAACTGCTTTTTCTTTTTTCTTCTTACTGCAACTGCCATCTTCTTATTGGTGAATATTTTCCGCATCTTGCTATGAATCCCTTTTGCCGTAGTAATTCTTGGTCTCGTGTTACGACTGTTCCTTCTTCTTCTTAGCATTCACTAGCTCTAAACTCTGACAGAAAGTTAAGGTTGTTCATCCACTTCTGGACTTTGGTCTTGATCCAGAACCTGAGTTTTTGCATGCACATTTGTTTTACTGATTTACTAGGAAAGAAACCCCTAATTAGTCAACTGCTATGACATGCTTGTTATTGGTACCGTGGGTATATTTCTCTGTTCTCCAAAATGGAGCCCCATGGGGAATGACTGTTCATCAAAGATAGTTTTTTTGTTTACTCACACTAAAGTACTAAACACCTTCATCATCCTGAGATCAATAACAGATAAAGAATCGTCTCGTGTGCAGCAAAGCAGCTGGCTTTTGTCTGCAAAAAAAAAGAGAGAGACATGCAATAGTTAATGCAATACTTCACAATAAAATGTCATTGTTTCTCTTCTTTGTATTTGGTGAGATCCCTGTGTAGATTCCTGGTTCCTACTGTGGGAGAACAAAACAACTTGTCACTGTTCCTCTTCTTTGTATTTGGTGAGATCCCTGTGTAGATTCCTGGTTCCTACTGTGGGAGAACAAACAACTTGTCACTGTTCCTCTTCTTTGTATTTGGTGAGATCCCTGTGTAGATTCCTGGTTCTCACATTTCATGTGATTTCCACTGGCACAGGAAGTGAGTGGCATTTCATGTGATTTCCACTGGCAATGAAAGTGAGTGGCATTTTGTGTGATTTCTACTGGCATAGAAAGTGAGTGCATTTCATGTGATTTCCACTGGCAATGAAAGTTAGTGGCATATTTTGTGTGATTTCCACTGGCACAGAAAGTGAGTGGCATATCATGTGATTTCCACTGGCAATGAAAATTAGTGCATTTCATGTGATTTCCACTGGCAATGAAAGTGAGTAGAATTTCATGTGATTTCCACTGGCACAGAAAGTGAGTGGCATATCATGCGATTTCCACTGGCAATGAAAGTTAGTGCATTTCATGTGATTTCCACTGGCACAGAAAGTGAGTGGCATATCATGTGATTTCCACTGACAATGAAAGTGAGAGCATTTCTTGTGAATTTCACTGGCACAGAAAGGGAATCATTATTGAATGACCCATTTGCAGCGAAGTTGAAAACTAGCCTACTACTAACTGTTCTTTATCTTCTTAATCTTCCAGTTGTTCTAATTTTGTTGTTCTTCTGAACTTTTTCAGACCCAGGCACGAATCATTTAACTCGTGGCATTCCCAGCATCAATACCATCCTGATGCAGTCACAGATTCGATGGGCTGCCCGTATTGTTCAAATGCCTGACCATCGGCTCCCAAAAATAATCTTCTATGTCAGAAAAAACGCTTCAAGGACACATTAAAGGCATGACTGAAAGCCTTCAGTATAAACCCTGACACCTGGGAGACTGCAGCACAAGACCGACTATATGGCTCAAATATAACCAAAATGGTGCACAATCTGCGAGGCATTTAGAACAAGGATAGCTGAACCACGAAGACAGGCCAGAAAGAACCGTCAAACAGGCCTTTTGTCTACTGATACTGTGCCCTGCCCTCATTGTTCTAGAATCTTCCGGGGATGCATTGGACTTATAAGTCACCTCCGGACTCACAAACATTCAACTGCAGTTTCATGACGGATGAAAGAAAGAGTGGTCCTCATCACTTGTGGTGGACGAACAAACAAAAGCAGCTTACACTACAGTGCACAAAAACACAGGGACTACATTCTTTCTTGACACTTTTTGCAAAGAATTAAAAAAAAAAATAATAATCTATAAGTCACAAATTGTTTCCACTCAGCCAAAACATTAAAAACAACAATAACAATCAAAAGCTGGACTACTTGAACTTACCTGTGGATAAACACAACGAAGTGAGTCGGCCATTTAACAGAATTTGATTGGTGCTTTCCTCTGATGAGCCTCTAATGTCCCAAAAGCGAACATGTCGGTCAAAATGGCTGATGGTCTAGGAGAAGACAGAAATGATGGCCAAGATAGAAATGATAGAAGATAGAAATGATGGTCAAGGAGAAGATAGAAATGATGGTCAAGGAGAAGTTGGAAATGATGGCCAGGGAGAAGATAGAAATGATGGTCAAGGAGAAGATAGAAATGATCGTCAAGGATAAGACAGAAATGATGGTCTAGGAGAAGACAGAAATGATGGCCAAGAGGAAGATAGAAATGATGGTCAAGGAGAAGATAGAAATGATGGTCAAGGAGAAGATAGAAATGATGGTCAAGGAGAAGATAGAAATGATGGTCAAGGAGAAGATAGAAATGATGGTCAAGGAGAAGATAGAAATGATGGTCTAGGAGAAGACAGAAATGATGGTCAGGGAGAAGAAGGAGAAATGATGGTCAAGGAGAAGATAGAAATGATGGTCAAGGAGAAGATAGAAATGATGGTCAAGGAGGAGAAGATAGAAATGATGGTCAAGGAGAAGGAGAAATGATGGTCAAGGAGAAGATAGAAATGATGGTCAAGGAGAAGATAGAAATGATGGTCTAGGAGAAGATAGAAATGATGGTCAAGGAGAAGATAGAAATGATGGTCAAGGAGAAGACAGAAATGATGGTCAAGGAGAAGATAGAAATGATGGTCAAGGAGAAGACAGAAATGATGGTCAAGGAGAAGATAGAAAAATGATGGCCAAGGAGAAGATAGAAATGATGGTCAAGGAGAAGATAGAAATGATGGTCAGGAGAAGATAGAAAGATTAGAAGATAGAAATGATGGTCAAGGAGAAGATAGAAATGATGGCCAGGGAGAAGATAGAAATGATGGTCAAGGAGAAGATAGAAATGAATGGTCAGGGAGAAGATAGAAATGATGGTCAAGGAGGAGAAAGATGGTCAAGAAATGATGGGCAAGGGAGAAGATAGAAATGATGGTCAAGGAGAAGAGAAATGATGGTCAAGGAGAAGATAGAAATGATGGTCAAGGAGAAGACAGAAATGATGGTCAAGGAGAAGATAGAAATGATGGTCAAGGAGAAGATAGAAATGATGGTCAAGGAGAAGATAGAAATGATGGTCAAGGAGAAGATATAAATGATGGTCAAAGAGAAAAGATAGAAATGATGGTCAAGGAGAAGACAGAAATGATGGTCAAAGAGAAGATAGAAATGATGGTCAAGGAGAAGATAGAAATGATGGTCAAGGAGAAGATAGAAATGATGGTCAAGGAGAAGATAGAAATGATGGTCAAGGAGAAGTTAGAAATGATGGTCAAGGAGAAGATAGAAATGATGGTCAAGGAGAAGATAGAAATGATGGTCAAGGAGAAGATAGAAATGATGGTCAAGGAGAAGATAGAAATGATGGTCAGGAGAAGATAGAAATGATGGTCAAGGAGAAATAGAAATGATGGCCAAGGAGAAGATAGAAATGATGGTCTAGGAGAAGACAGAAAGGAGAAGATAGAAATGATGGTCAAGGAGAAGATAGAAATGATGGTCAAGGAGAAGATAGAAATGATGGCCAGGGAGAAGATAGAAATGATGGTCAAGGAGAAGATAGAAATGATGGTCAAGGAGAAGATAGAAATGATGGCCAGAGAAGATGGAAAGAAGATAGAAATGATGGTCCAGGAGAAGTTAGAAATGATGGTCAGGAGAAGATAGAAATGATGGTCAAGGAGAAGACAGAAATGATGGTCAAGGAGAAGATAGAAATGATGGTCAAGGAGAAGATAGAAATGATGGCCAGGGAGAAGATAGAAATGATGGTCAAGGAGAAGATAGAAATGATGGTCAAGGAGAAGATAGAAATGATGGTCAAGGAGAAGATAGAAATGATGGTCTAGGAGAAGACAGAAATGATGGTCAAGGAGAAGATAGAAATGATGGTCAAGGAGAAGATAGAAATGATGGTCAAGGAGAAGATAGAAATGATGGCCAGGGAGAAGATAGAAATGATGGTCAAGGAGAAGTTAGAAATGATGGTCAAGGAGAAGACAGAAATGATGGTCAGGGAGAAGATAGAAATGATGGTCAAGGAGAAGATAGAAATGATGGTCAAGGAGAAGATAGAAATGATGGTCAAGGAGAAGATAGAAATGATGGTCAAGGAGAAGACAGAAATGATGGTCAAGGAGAAGATAGAATGATGGAGAAGATAGAAATGATGGTCAAGGAGGAGGAGAAGATAGAAATGATGGTCAAGGAGAAGATAGAAATGATGGTCAAGAAGAGAAGATAGAAATGATGGTCAAGGAGAAGTTAGAAATGATGGTCAAAGAGGAGATAGAAATGATGGTCAGGGAGAAGATAGAAATGATGGAGAAGATAGAAATGATGGTCTAGGAGAAGACAGAAATGATGGTCAAGGGAGAAGATAGAAATGATGGTCTAGGAGAAGACAGAAATGATGGTCAAGGAGAAGATAGAAATGATGGTCAGGGAGAAGATAGAAATGATGGTCAAGGAGAAGTTAATGGTCAAGGAGAAGAAATGATGGTCAGGGAGAAGAGAAGATTAGAAATGATGGCCAGGGAGAAGATAGAAATGATGGTCAAGGAGAAGTTAGAAATGATGGTCCAGGGAGAAGATAGAAATGATGGGCAGGGAGAGTTAGAAATGATGGTCAAGGAGAAGATAGAAATTATGGTCATGGAGAAGATAGAAATGATGGTCAAAGAGAAGATAGAAATGATGGTCTAGGAGAAGACAGAAATGATGGCCAGGGAGAAGATAGAAATGATGGTCAAGGAGAAGATAGAAATGATGGTCAAAGAGAAGATAGAAATGATGGCCAGGAGAGATAGAAATGAAAGGAGAATGGAAATGAAGGAGAAGATAGAAATGATGGTCAGGAGAAGTTAGAAATGATGGTCAAGGAGAAGATAGAAATGATGGTCAAGGAGAAGATAGAAATGATGGCCAAGGAGAAGATAGAAATGATGGCAAGGAGAAGTTGGAAATGATGGCCAGGAGAAGATAGAAATGATGGTCTAGGAGAAGACAGAAATGATGGTCAAGGAGAGAAGATAGAAATGATGGTCTAGGAGAAGATAGAAATGATGGTCAAGGAGAAGATAGAAATGATGGTCCAGGGAGAAGATAGAAATGATGGTCAAGGAGAAGATAGAAATGATGGCCAAGGAGAAGACAGAAATGATGGTCAGGAGAAGATAGAAATGATGGTCTAGGAGAAGACAGAAATGATGGTCAAGGAGAAGATAGAAATGATGGCCAAGAGAGAAGATAGAGAAATGATGGTCAAGGAGAAGATAGAAATGATGGTCATAGAGAAGATAGAAATGATGGTCAAAGAGAAGATAGAAATGATGGTCAAGGAGAAGACAGAAATGATGGAGGAGAAGATAGAAATGATGGTCAAGGAGAGATAGAAATGATGG